ATATATATATATATATATATATATATATATATATATATATATGCTCTTTCATCTCCATCAAAGTATTATAATTCTCAGGCTTCCTAGCCTACTCTCAAAACATATCTTACCTACAACTTCTAAACCATGAAATATTTGCACATCACTAACTTATCAGAGAGTAAATCACGCCCACAGATTCATCCAAAAATTCAGATTCAAATAATGCTTGAAACTGGAATCGAATCTGACACACAAATCGAAATGCCTGAAGACGTGCAGATGATCACACAGAGACAAGTTCGAAAATTCTACAATTTTCAAAAACTAAAATTTGGGACACTATTCTAGTCACACAAATATTACAAGCAGAATAAGTGTTCTCTAGCCAAAAATTTGACTGCGTAGGAACGAAAATTGCAAAGAAAATTAAACTCGAAATTATTTATATATCAAGTATTTGACGTGCATATGTTTAAATTACAGCTCGCATTTATGAAGAATATCAAACTGAAAAGAATTCATATGAATCTCGTTAAAATGATACATCCAACCGTAGAGCATGTGACTCTGTCTCCTGAGCCGCCAAAAGAAATAGCCATTGCCAGTGATTATGATGAAACAATGCTTAAACATCTCCGGAAAATAAAGGATTTAAAATAAATGTAACGTCGAGTCAGTCACTCATTTACAATCCTGCTCATTTTTTGAACTAAATTAGTACTTTACACATTATCAAACTACAACTATTTTGAATACATCTTATACCTTAATACAGGACCAAGAATTCTCCTCTCACAATGCTTCGACTAGTCAAATGAACTTCCTTAGTGAGCTAGAACTTAAAGCGTTGGACTTACAATTTATGATATATAAATTTCACGAACGCTAGTATTTTTGAAGAAATATTTTATTCATTAACAAATAATGATAATTTTTAAAGAATCTTATATGGGATAATTAATCCACTTAGATAAAGGACCGTGCTCCCGAACAAGTTTGCATGTAGCACCATCTGGCACCAAACGCCCTTCCTCACGCATTCTTTCGTAATCTTGTTTATCCCATTTAGTGAAGCCCCATTTTCTTGACACAACAACAAGTTGACGACCAGGAAACTTGAATTTCGCCCTCCGAAAAGCTTCCACTGCATGTTCCTCGTGCTGAAAAGTGATCAACATCTTTTAACCAAATTTTTGCTTTAATTTCCCGACACTTATTTTTAAAGTGAAGTATATTTTAACAAAATAACTTCCAGACTCTTAGATCTGAGATATAAATAAACTTTCTTGAGAACAACACAAGATAAGTTGAATCTAACTACTAGCATCAAAGACTGGAGACAAAATTTTTCTCTTACTTAATAAGTAAACTGTAAAGCGGTACAAACCTGTTCTTTTACTCGAACTGATATTAATATATCACCAATATCAACTCTTGCAACCAAGCCCTGCGGTTTCCCAAAGGCTCCACGCATGCCAGTTTGTAAACGATCTGCACCAGCACAAGACAACATTTTATTAATCCGCACAACGTGATATGGGTGTTTACGAACACGCATGTGAAAACCATCTTTTCCACAGTTTTTCACCATATATTTGTTTGCACAGATACGAGCAGCCTAAAACGCGTAATATCACACTGAAAGCAAATTTTTTGAATTATTGCCTTTCATCAAAGTCTATAGCAGCATATTATTTGACCAAAGACGAAATTGATCTTCTTCCTAATAAACAGCACCACACTTACCGACGAACTGAAAATGAAAATTCTCAAAATGTTATGATATACCTCAAGTGCCTCAGATGAAAGATGTTCGCGTTCATTGGACATCAAGTGTACACACAAAGGAAATTCATCTACCGTTGCTTTTTTTTTCCCCAAATCAAAAATACGAATTTTAGGATCCGGTACACCTCGACAGAATCGAGACTTTGGATAGGGTTTGTTTTTGATATATCGATAACACCTTGCAGGTCGTCGACCCATTATTCAGCAACTCCACGCCTACCTAACAATTAAATACACCGTAATCTATAAAGCTTCAGTTGCAACATTTTCCTAGCAATGTCTCACTACTTGCAATTACTAATGCATACTAATAACTACAAAAAGGTACAAAATTATTACTAAAAAACGATGTCAACTTTTTTGTTAACAAATTTAGCTGTTTCATTGATAAAGATGAAAAATAATGTCCATTCCTCCTTAATGTTTGTAGCAGTATTAACCATTATTATAAAGAGAATGTAGGACAACTTAATGTCTTCCTAGTCACTTTTCCACTTACAAATTAATATTTTTTAGTTTAGTGACTTCTAATGAATTTACTTCTGTATTCATATCACTAGTGACACATACAGAACTCAGAAAGAAATACAACATGAAACCAGAACATAACTCCACAATGAAAGCAAGAAGTATTTGCTCAACTGAAGGAAATACAACCAACACTTCAACACCTAAAATGACTGAACACTGGTAGTAACGTTTCACGAAAATCATACTTTCGTTTAAAAAAATTATCTGTGATGCAGCAGTATATTTAAGTTTAAAAACGTTATCATTACTTATCTGCATTCGTAATCGCTGGTACGGTTGTTTGCTATTTGTTGTTGTAAATTCCAGGCAACAGAGGTGCTTAAAATTTATCATTGTAATTAACAGTAATTGTCGACATCCTCCTAACAAGGTATACTTAATAAAAGCAGTAAATGTTGCTGAAAATTAGACTAGATAGTGCAGTTATTTCCTTAAGTCAGGCAGTATGATTATTTTCTTATTATTCATTTATTAATTTGCTTTTTACAAATTAGTGTAGTAATATGAGATCAAATAATTTGTGGCAATGAGATAAGTAGAACAGGTGTTAAGTGAATAATGTTAAATAAATATTACAGTGATAAGTATTACTTTGATATTTAGATCAAAAACTGGAAGCAAAGAAGAAACTCTCTTATGCGGATATTGTAAGTAGAAAGGAGAAACGGTCTTGCGATGTGAGTAAGAGAAATGCAAATAATTTTTAGAAAAGTTCACTTTTCTGTAATTTTAACTTTTTTTCTTAAACTTGTTCAAAAATTGTTAGATAACTGTACTCTCTATAGTGTTGTAATGATTACTTTAAGCTACCTGCTGTAATTAATCGTTGGGAAGCAGCTGTTTCAAATTGGGAGTATGAAAGAAAAGTGCATTCAAAAATTGGATTATTAATTAATCAACGGTAAGATTGTATTTAGAACTGTTTTAGACTGTATATTCATTTAAAATGCCTTTTTCGTAAGCAGTAGAGCTTGAAGTGAATCAAGAAATAAAATTTTGTGCAAATTTGGTTAACTGCAGAATTAGCATAAATAATTGTAGGTACGAAGTATTACTGAAGATCAATTTTGGGACTTTTGGATCTATCTATAGTGCCACTGATACTTTTACAGGAAAGAAAGTGGCACTCAAATTCGTTACTAGTGAGTTATTTGAAAAATAAAATAGAAATTAGAATATGGTAAGAAGAAACAGTTCTGTATTTCACATTCCGATATCAAAATTTTTGAAAAACCGCTTGAATAGTGCTATTTTTGCTGTTTACTTTGCGGAAAAAATTCTTCTGTTTACAGCTCTTATTTTCAGGATTAATAGAACATAAAAATTTCCAACTACGGCATGAATATGGTGTGTACAACGTATTGAAAGTAAGGAAAGTATACTGAAATTTCTCAAATATGGTCACTGAATATTAATTTTTCACACATGAGTGTTGTATGTTGTCTTAAAATGAAAAGCCTTCTTTGATTTTAATAAGCAGGAACTTTTAACTAACTTGATTAATTTTTGTAGAATATTTTCGGATTTCCGAAAGTTTACTGGTTTGGCACAGAATTCGACCACGAAATATTAGTTATGCAATTGCTTGGACCGTCACTTGCACAGCTTTACAAATATTGTGATTATAGCTTCACGTCTGAGGTTATTTTCTGAATTTGAAAATAGAAACCATTTTTCATTTAGAAGTCTAATTTAACGTATTCAAGGCACTTTCAAGTTTTTGTCCATCACAAAAGTCCCCTGAATGTATGTTAGTCTTCTGCTGCTTCTATCAAGACTTCGTTAAACGGATTTTGGAATGCATTTGAGAAACATATCCGGTTTTAAAATACAATTTATTTCTGTAATTGCTGATATTCTGGATGTAAAACTTTTCAGACGATAACTGAAATAGGGCAACAAATGCTGGATCGCCTTCGAATTTTGCATTTAAACGGATATATACATTGTGATGTGAAGCCACATAATTTTCTTATGGGTATTAATGATGATGAAGAAACTTGCTACCTTGTCGATTATGGACTTGCTCGATGCTACAGGTTATTTTTGTTAGAATAAAAAACTTTAGACGACTGTTTTAATAAGCAAGCAATTAAATAAATTATGTAATAAAATATGGAATATTTTCGAGATCTAATGACGAGATTCGATCGCACATATCTTTGGAAGGTGGTAGACGTTCAGTAGGTACTGTCAAGTACGCTAGTATCAATAACCACGAAGGATGTACTTTGAGTCGACGTGATGATTTGGAAAGTTTAGGCTATGTTTTGATAGAATTTATCAATCGCACTTTACCATGGTCTATGCAGGTTTATTTTTCACATTCCTTAGACCTTTATTATACAGTATGCTTCTAACATTCTTAAAGATAAAGTACATTTGTTTTTAAAAACTTATGATTTGCTTGTTCTTAAAGCTTATAATTAGGTTGGTAATTGCTAGCTGTGCAGTTTTCACTGTGAAATTAAAAGTAAAAAATTTGTTTAAGAAGAGTAACGCATTGAAAAGAAAATTTCGATCAAGAAAACTATCAGTCAATAAGATAAAAGCTATGAAGAAGGAAACAGATTGGGGCCTTACGTGTCCAAGAATGGCAAAGTGGATGAACTATTGCTTCCAATTGGGTTTTGAAGATGATGTGCGAAATTAATTCATTTTACTAATCATTTACTTTATAATTTATTTCATTTATTATCTCTGTAAATTTGTAGGATACAATTTTTAGCGTATTTTAGCCCGATTACGATTATTTAAGGAAGGTTCTCGAGTCCATTTCGATAGCACCCGATAAATCCCAGTCTGAACCAATTCACTGCCAGGTCACATAAAAATTCAGTCTGTATTTTAAAGACTATAATATCTGTTTTCTTCTAAAATATAAGCAATATAACTTTTTTCCTTGTAAAAAGCTTATTCAGTTTTGTTTTTACTGCGAGGCCTCGGAAAATGTTTGAAATTGCTGTGGAAACAAGTTTTCCGTCTTTCTTTTCTGCCATTATGACAGTTTTCTGCCGATGATCTTCAGAAATCTAATTTTCATAAGACTTTATTCGCTCCATCAAAAATATTGTGCATAATCTGTGCATTTTTAGCAAAAAAGGCAATCCCTATGTGGTTGGTCATACTCTTCTCTCAAATCCAGCATTTTTTATCAGAAGGACGATGATAATCCTTCATAGTTTTTCTTTAATAGTTTTTCTCCCAATAATAAAGAACTAAAAAAAATACTCGTACCAAAGCTAGAAGTTATATTTTCGCATGCGCTATTTAAGGATTGAAATGCCTTCAGTAGCACGAAGGAACCAGGAAAAAACTCGATGTTTTCTGCTTGACATTTCATTTTATAATCATTTCCAATTTACAAAATCTTAATAACTTTATCAGCATCTTTTGAAACTTCCATATTATCATATCGCATCCATCTTAAATTTAGAAAAGTATGATGATGGGGCGAAACGTTATAGCTGGATAATGCTTCGAGAAAGTTGTAGTAAAGAAAGACAGGCTTTCGAAAACTTATTCAGGTATTTTTATCTTTTGATCTTTGATTCTCATGAAATCATATTTATTTGCTTGAAATAGGACACACAGATTTCATGAGAATATTGAAATCCATTGCTATCAGTAGAATAAAAGTTGTTTTCTGCTCTTTCTGTAACACCAGATGTTACTAGAGCTATATTTTTTTGTGTTACTTGCATTTCTGGCTTTGTATTATTTGGATTTTCCCTTAAAAATCACCAAATGTGTGAAAATTTGACATGTTTTTGCTTCCAGTTGGATCAAATGAATCAAAGTGAAGACGAGCTCGTATTTTTCATAAATTTGTATAGTGAAAACCAGTTCGTTGAGACAAAGTTATTGTAATCAGGAATTTAATAACCCCACTACTAACTATTATTTCTAACTTATAATTTCAAATTATAATAGAGTTAATCTTAAGGTTTAACATAAAATTTCAAGTAAACTTTGTTTATTAGGAGGTAACGATCTAAAATTTGTTTCCAGCAATTTTTGCGTTGTAAAATATAATCTTTTTATTGTTTGGAATGTATTTTCCGGTTAAAAAGAGTATTTTAAGTAATAAAACCGTTATATTTTCCACCGGAATTGAAGAGGAAATACGGAATTGGAGACACTATCAAACTATATAACTAAAAATAACCAGTGATGATTACTTTAATGGTCTGATCTGGATACTTTGGTGCTAAGAAAGGTGCTTCAGTTCTGTATTGCTTAGCTTAATAAGTGTTAAGTTTAGAAAGAAGCCTTAATGATATATACTAACTCCTCCTTTTTCATTTGTACTTGATTAAATTTCTATTTTTTGGTAACATATGCTTATCTCAATCTATAAAAAGCAATTTTGATATTCTTATGTATTACATGTATTCCATAAACTAAGATATACAAAACTGTAAAATAATCGTTGTAAAAACTTGTAGAACTACGAGTAAAGAGAACTGTTATTAATAAACTGTAAGAAAATGATTACTGTACCACCTGCCATCACTACAGTATTATATAGTATTAGTAAATTTTAAGACTTGTTACTGTCAGTGCTAAACATAAGTAGAGTGTAGATGTGAAAGATGAAAAGCGATATTATTATTACAAAATACAAAGCCCGTTTTGGAAAGCACCTTATTTCACTGAAAAACATAATATAATTTAGTAAGAAAAGTGATTTCGAAAATCTACATTCAAGAAGTATTTGCTGGCGCTAGGAATACATCGATTATTAAAATAGCAATGAAATATTTCAGAAAAATACTTATAAAGAGGCACTCAATAAATAATTCAAGAAATGTTTGGGTAGTGAAAATGAAATATGAAAGGATCACTAAAACTACGACCCAAATCACTTAGTTATAATGGAATTCCGGATGAATGGATTTGAAGGATAAGCGGAGTGCTCAAGAGCTATAAATTTATTTCAATTTTGGGATCTACTCATTATGGGAATTTGTGAAGTAATATGAAAGATTAGGAATAGCGAAATTTCAAAAATAGCTGCTGTTAGCACTATCTTTGCAATTTCAAAAAAAAAATCGGCTAATCGAGCTTACAATATTTGAGTTTGGTTTTTATTATTTTTGTCTTTGATAATTTTGCACTACTATTCCACAATATGGAAAGAATATTCGACTGGAAAATTAACTATAATTTTTTGAAAATAACTAAATTCAATAATAACGCATGAGTACCGCACGCAATTATGGATGCGAATTTACCTCAGATACCAATTAAATTATCAACAGCAGTGGAAATAGTAGTGCTAACAGCTGGAGTGAGTGATTCTTCACTACCTTCATTACTAACTAAATTCAAGATCGGCTCCATTGTAACATCACGCATAATTTGTAAATGCTGTTTTACATTGTGCACTGCGGAAGAAAATGTTGGCACTACCTGATCATCGTTTTCATCTCTGACCTGCAAGAAATAATTCTGATCTACACAGCACCATTTTTTATCCTGTGCTCAAATAACACATTAAAACGAATAAGGTTGTATAGCCTTAACATAAAAATTGTAAAGAGTAGATGAAAGATAAGTTTGTAAAAAAATTTAACATACAGAGCGTAACGAAATATACCCAATGTCGAAATTATTTTCATATCATAAACAAAAGACGTGATCATAAGATAAATATGCAAATGCTATACTGCCCTGCGCATTAAGAACTACCTTGGTCATATGTCGAGCTAATTCAAGTGTTGGATTACCAAATATACCAAAAACTGATGGAATACGGGAAGATGGCGCATCTAACCAACCTTAAATGAAAACTTTTCAGAATTCTGAATAAAAAAACGAATTTCGTCCAGTGGAGGAAAGTGATAAAGAAGAAAAGTGTAACTTTTTGTCATGTATCTATGAAAGTGTAACTTTTCATAGACTCATGAAAAACTACATTTTAATACCCGATAAGAAACAACGAAAGAACTGGTCACTGGACTCGCTCAAATATTGATCATCGCATGGTATGTGAAGAAGTTGTTCAGCTTTTGGGCGTTCTAATGGTTCTTTTCGCAACATACCAAAAATTAAGGTACGGACTAAAAAAGTTTAATAAGACATAATATACAAAGTATATGAAGTATTTCACGGTACAGTTAACATATTATTAAAGAAAGAACTTATGCTCAACAAAATGAGTTCCTACTAGTGTCAAGTACTTTTTTGACATATTTTATTCATTGCTAAGTAAGTCACTACTTAAACTGAACACACCTATTGGAGAAATTCGTATATGAGTTGGAATACTGAACTTTGCTCTTAAAATTCGATAGAATAATTCCCGCAGCGTTGTATCGATAAACGGATAACTGCAAAAGTATTTAATTTTTTTTCTTTATAACGCTTTTAAAGTCTTTATTTATACGAACATAGATAGAGATTTGGTTGATACTATCAATACCAAATTATTTTAAACACAAACCATCCGAATAACAAAACATAAAGCAGAATTCCCAGCGCCCAAATATCTGCTGGACGACCCGCATATGCAGCAGAATCCTTCAAAATCTCAGGTGCAACGTATGCTGGACAAATGTGCCTATCATGTAACCAATCATTTGTAATATCTTCACAGACAACAACATCGAACACATCTCGTAATCTTAACTGCGTCCTAAAATTTTTTAGCAATGAAGAAATACAAAAATGTTCACTGGTTATCACTAAAATTACATTTTCTTCAAACACAGAAAAAACTTGCATTTGTTTGTCTGTAAAGACGAACTTTCGAAGTTTCACATCTCGTATAATGATTCCACAAGCATGGCAAAATGCCATGCCTCTAGCAATTTTTGAAAACAAAGCAAATGCTTCGCTTTCCGAAAGACGAACTTCGTTTCTAATTTCGCTCATTTGAACTTTGCTATGCATAGTCCCATATTGCCAATTTGAAAACATAAAACGCTGACCATTTTCACCCACAAACACCTCGGTTCCTGAGGGTAGAACGAATTCCCTAAAAGCTAAGCCACTGAAGATCGAAATAAATAAAGTCTATCGCAAGCATTTTTTTTAAAGTTCTACAAATTTAAATGGAAACCTCATTGTTTCCAAATCTCCATATTTCCAATAGCGCTCAGCTTCATTCAATCGATTCGCAACCACCAATAGCTTCACATATTGTTCACCGTTGATGATCTGGAAGAACAGTAATTGAGATTCAAACAATTTGAAACGAAAATTCGGCAAACTAGAAATAACGCTCAGTACCATATAAATGGATTATGAAGAATGATCATTAAAATTTACTTCACAAGTCTTAACAATTTTCTTCTCCACATGATAAGCTACGAACTCTTTACCAGCGCCAATCAAACGGTAGCCACAGACCACTCTATCATTTATTTTTGACCATGACTGAAATAATACTAGAAAACTAGAAAGTTCAGCATTTACAAAATATGGGAATATTACTTGTAATCATGCAAGTTCATGCAGACCTTTATCGAATTTCCTGGATTAAAACAAGCACTTTTTGACCGAGCGCCACCTAATTCTGGCGATGCAAATTTGCTAGTGGGTGAAATTTTTACGTCCAAAAGACGACGTTTTGCATCATCACCATTATTTTCTGAAATGACAGAGCAGTCTTCACACTTAAAAATAATATGTTTTAGAAGTTCAGAGTATAAAAATGTGACAGCGCGAATGTCGCTTGCAAATGGACTCCTCATTTTTGATTGTGAACAAATGAAGCGACATTACATTTATATCACTTGCTAGAATAAATTCTGCTCAGAAATGATTATTTAATTCTATTTCTGCATATCAAATAAAAGATAAACAATGTGCGTATGAGAGGAAGTTCTGACAAAATTTATTTTTGTTTTATGTAGATACTAACAAAACATAGTTATAAATCATCACATTTCTTCATCCCGCAGTTTAGGGAAAAAAATACGCCGCGAATAAGCAATTCTTTTAGATTACATAATTTTTTACCAAATATTCTAGAAAATGTTGTTTTCATGAAATTAGATATTTTCAACTCACTATGTTTTGTTAGTATCTACATAAAACAAAAATAAATTTAACTACTGAGGCTGGTAAATAAATAACACTACAAACGTGGCTTCCAGTCACTGCTATCACTCATCTACAAAATACAGTAGTCAATACTTCTTCCCATAACCATCCATACCCGATAGATAAAAGAAATCTTTTTGACGCAAACAGAAAAAACAAGAACAAAAAAAGCTGAATTACACAATGGAAAGTTTCTGGGAAAATTATCAAACTTTTTTAAGACAAAGGAATGGATACAGACAAAGGCTATGAAATTACCAAACACTTGAATAAACAAAAAATAATTTGAGCACAACGATACAAGTCTGCCATGAACGTTATTCAAGATTTCACGTGCGTATGATTTTCTAAAAAAAGCTAGCTATTCGAGTAAAAGATAGATTTTAGTAAGCAAAAGCAAGATTTTTACCTTGAGACAATTCATTATTAGCTAAATCACTCATCAAATCACTTCTACTTGCATTTATTGCATTGAGTGTGATTCGCGGAAGTCGACAAGCTGCTGGACGTTTTCTACTTACTGCTATGTTATGATGCGTGTTACTGGATACTTCTGGATGTGAAGATGTTGATCCAGCAATATCCATCTGAGCAATTAAGCTAAAAAATCCACGCTTATATTAAACGTACATCTTAAGAGCCTGAAAATTATGTTATTACTACAAAGAATAATTAAATTAAAAGTTAAGAATACTGCTCAATGTTCATTCTAAAAACGATTCTAACAATATCAAGCAAACATGCAATAAAAAATATTATATTATCGATTTTTTCCTTTTTAGGCTACAAATATAAAAGGGAAACGAGCATATGCTACATAATTAACAAGCTAGAAAATCGATTATAAATAAAAATGATATATATTTAGCTTTTTAAGAAAATCATTAAAACTTTCCAGAACACATCAATTCATTAAAAATAAATCGATACTGTATGTAACTAGCTGGGAAATCTTTATAAATACTGCTATTCACGTCATTACATTCTTCGCGAGAACATGACCAACTCACTAATTAAACGTTGTGCCCGACGAAAAGATTAAGTTTTAATCATTCGGTCGGTCGACTGGTCGGTCAGTCAATCGATCGGTCATCTCCTGAGAGTCGAGAATTTGAATCGAAAGAAGCAATGACAAGCGAAAGCGAGCAATTGCGCATTACATGATTTAATCATTCACACTCTCTTCACGTCACTCTTTATTTCCATTAAATTACGCAAACATGCAAAAATTTTGTCATGAAGGAACATAAAAAATACACAAAATCATTGCTAAACATGTAAATTAATCATTAAAAGTCGTAATCAAAATACTCATCAACTAAATCAATGTAAATTATCACTTATTAGTAAATAATAATTAAGACTAACCACTAATTAGCATATTATGTACATTAGAAATATTTATGGTTTTTATTCTTGAAAATCCTGTAATGATATATAAATTTAATTATCACTATTATTAATATTATTATTGCCACGTCAAGCGTGACGTCATTTTAGTTGTAAAGATAAAAACATAACAAAATTATCAAACGTAAAGAAATGACAAAAAGAAACTGCATTTTGTACAGAAATGCAAATAAAATGACAAACTATTGTGCAAAAATGAAAATAAATAAATAAACGCTTTCTTCACGTACTTTTTACAGTAACTATTTTTGTACACTTTGTGGCAATTTAAGTAAACGTTTTTGAATATGCAAAATTGATGAATACAATACAACTGCTAACAAATATACAGAAGATATAAGTGAGAGTGAGAATTCGCTTGCCTCAGTCAAAGCGAATTGTTTCGCATCCTCAATCGAAGACACTCTGACTCTTTGACGTATGCTTCTTTTTCTTTCTTTCTATCTCATAATTTGCATTGTATCACTCCTCCTATGGAATTAGATGGATTGGCAATTGCAAATTCGAATTTTATGCAAATGAGTAAGCTAAATTATTCCTACACGTAAAATATTTTATTTGATATGACGCTATTTTAATGACGTGAACTTACTTATGGTTATAAATAGCACTTACATTACTAAATAATGCAGCAGACGTGTCAAACATGTATAATTGAGACTTCTATCACGTCAACGTTACCAGTCATGCAAGCGTAAAATAAATTTCAAGATTTGTACTTATATCATGCACAGAAATTACGCATATTAATTTGGACTATTAAATATAGCACAAAAATAAAAAGATCAAGATTTTAATTACTTAAATAACTCAAATTTTAATCATAGTATGATTTTTCCGTTTAAATTCTACGCAATATTTCATTTTACGTCATTAACAACATTGGAGCAACTATTTGACTTTTTTATTCGATCAAGTTTTTGTAATTAACATGCAAATTTTTTTTTTCAAATTTGTTTTCAATACAAGAGTAATTCTCTATCATAAGAGATCGACAGGTCAGCTAATTCTGTGGGTAATTAAATCTACAAAAAACAGGTCATTTTAAAAAGTGTTCATTTTAGGTCAAAAATATTTGTAGATGCTTTATATCCTGTTTTTATAACCTTTAAAATTCTTCTACATATGCAGCTGATTGTGTATGAATAAATTTTACTAATTTAAATCTACAAATTTATAGCCTTAACTAAGTTGCATCAATCTTGTCATTTCTTGATAGTGTAAAAGGATTTATATAAATCAAAAATAAAGAATAATTAAAGCAAATATTTTAATGATACTAAAATACTGCGTAACAAAATGATTTATATCCATAAAAGCTGAAATCATATTTCTGGGATCAATAAGTTCCGAGTAGCTGATAGTACGTATACTTATCACTTATCTGTATAATGCATTGATTGAAGGATTAATTTATCAAAAAACTTCTGCTGATTAATACAGTATACAAGTTTACTTTCTCTATGCGTGATTTGAAAACCGCTTTCCATCACAACACGTCTAGTTCAGAAGTGATACCGTCGATCGAATACGTTGAACTTCAACCAGTGATATAAAACATATCCATAACTTGATCTGCATTTTCTTGGAATTTTTTTAACTTCTGCTTTACAGTTTTTGCTTATCAGTAACAACAATCACTTCAGTGGTAATTTAATTAGGTATGCAAATTTATTGTTGATCAACAAGTAATTATGTGATTTCCGCATTATATTACTACCATCAATAAAGAGCTAAAATTATTTAAAAATTATTTATTATAGCTGAAAATTTGCATTTTTTAAAAGTATAATTCAAATATCTAAACTATTTGTATCCAAATTACTACAAAACTGACCAATGAAATATGAGAATATGGTAATTAGCTAAATAAAAAATTAATTACATGTCAGTGAAGAGAGCTTTCTTTCTGTACCTTCAATTAATACATTTATTTATAAACGATTAATCACATTTAAAAAATATGCAGTAAATTTACATACAGAAATAAACCCAACATGCAAAAAGTTTGAAATAAAATAATTGTTTTTCAGCACCGATTGTTATAGTTTATATGAAATGAATCAAAACGAACAAAATAACAAAACCCATCCCGAACCATTAGAGGTGTGAAATTTGGCACCATAAAAATATGTGAATAGTAAGATATAATTTTATAATATAGATAGTCCTTTTTAATACTAAGAAAGTTTTATAATATTTTCACTTCATTATTTTTGGTACGAGAATTGGTAACTTAAGCAGAAATCTTATTTCTGGGATCAATAAGTCCGGATTAGTTAGTAGTATGTATATTTATTACTTGCATATTACATTGATTGTACAGTTTTGGAGGTTAAATTTTTCTATGTAAGTTTAGATTATTTACATTTTGTGCTGCATAAGCAAAGAATTTTGCTAATAAGTCTAGAGCGTATGTATTTCAAAAAACTGAAAAAACCGCGCAACCTATTCGAATTGATTGTGAACTTGACATATTGAGTAGTTGAACATGAGCAACAATAAACCTGATACATTCTTAAAAAATTAAAAGTTAAAAATAGCAAGAATTTTAAAAAAGCAAAATATTGTGAGGTTAAAATACTTTCTTAAAATTTTCATATTTTCAGGAAAGCATGGTACTGAATAAACCATTTGGCATAAAACTTTATAAAGCAACGCTAGAAGTATTCTATCATTTTTAATTAATGATTATAGTAATTTTTAAAAAAAACTTTTTGGGAAAGATCATAATTTTTTGCACAAAAACAAGGAATATACATTGTTTAAAATTAAAAAAATAAACAGAATCAACTAAATGAACCTTAATGGAATCGTTAAACTCGATGTTTACTGATCAAACGACTGAAAATGAAAGGACATAAAAAATGAATTCATCAGAATTTTCTCAAACTTTTGACTAAATTAAAAATATTTCAAAAATTAGTGATTCAGAAGGATAAAAAACTTCAGATCATTCATGTGGATCCAGAAGCACCAGCATCAAAATGGGCCTTTTCAGGTGATACTATTATTGCAGTTGATGAAATCAGAGTCCGAGATGCGCGAACATTAAGGAACATTATGAATCGACCAACTACAGTAATGTTTGTTGCATGAAATTTAGTTTATTTAACTGCAGATTTTACACGAACATCAAGAAATTCAAAATTATTTACATATTATTACTTTGATAATAGTTGAAAATTACAAACAATATTTTCAAGATATGTTGGAAAGTGCTGCAATTTGATTAGCAATTAATCAAATTTAATTGAATGCAAGTAAATTTAGTGTAAGTCTGATGCTAAATTCAGCAATATTTTTGCTTGCTCTAGTGTAATGAATCCCTCATATTCAAATAATTTAGCATGTTTTCAAGTTTATGCTAGCTTTTCGAATCTTTATCTTTTGAATGTTTAGAAAGCGACTCTAAGAATTCGACGAAATACTTATTCACATAGTCGACGAATCAAATCTACAGTGGAAACATTTGTTATGAAGCATGAAACAAAATTACTAAGAGCTATCAGTATTTATTTGGTCAATCTTTTTTTTCTGAATAATTAAAATTGTACATAAGTGCCTAATCATTTACGTAATAATTAAAATTACTTACGTAAATGATTAGGCACTTATGTACAATTGCATGATATTTTAAGCAGCGTCATTTTTTGAATAGTCTAATGTCAAAGGACATACGACCAGCAATAAGATTAAAAATGTTTATTAAAGAAAATAAATGAATGAAGAGATTTTATATCATGATAATGCAGAAAAAAGTCATGATATTTCAAGAACTAAAATTTTAAACTTAAATTGTTTTCACTAAAAGACTACACTGATCTGCGAAAATTTACCAGCCAAAGATATAGTGAGTTATTGATAACATTATCTTCAGGTGTGCGTTCACGTTGGAAACCTAACACCACCTGATTTGACTGATGCCTTGGGATTATCGGTGTCATATGACGCACGTGAGCGACTTGAAGTTGTCTCAACCAGAAAAAAGGGTGTTGCTGCTATTCATTTGCATCCAGGAGACACTATCAAGTAAACTTTGATATTACTCTTTCATCAGATTCATTTTTGAAATTGCTTTATGCTGAAAACATCAAATTTATTTACATAATGAATAAAACTCGAATTCTTTCATAGGAAAACTTGAAAGAATATTTTTAAACTATCTCTAGGAATTGTTGCCATACCGACTATTTTAACTTATTCAAGTTACAACAAACATACAAAAAATTTATTGTAGAGAAGTAAATGGTCATCCAGTTGCTTCCAAATCAATGCTTCAGTACTGGATCTTGGCAAGTATGGAAGCAAATGGTTTTGTAAGTAGTTCAATAATCAAAAAATTTTTTAGAGACATCTAAACCATACGCAATAGAAGTTCTAGATAACTTATGGACATCCAGATAATATTGAGAATAAACTCACAACAACTGATTTGCTTCGTATCCTTGATGTTGGAAATGCTTCAGGTTGAATTTCTCATTCAATGTGATATGGACAAAGATACAGAACCTGATCAAGAAATGCCTCAAGATGTGAAAGCTATCACTGAAAGACAGGTAAATATCTTCAGAGCCATCACGAAATTCTTGAAGCACCTATCATCAAAATGTAACAATAAATCTGATTTCCTCAATACAAATGTGTCTCTGAATAGTCATATTATGGTTAGTTTACGCTGAATCACGGCCAAGTTATCAAGATAAGTCAAAACTTTCCTCAATAAAATCTGCACTTTAATTCATCCTATTAGGATTATTTAAATGACAGTCCCTAAAAAATAATTTATTTTCTATACTCTTAATCTTAAACGGTAACAATTCTCAACAAAATCGAAGATTCTCAATACGTCACAATAAAACTGATAAGCACAAAGATGATTACAGAGGATAATGATGAACCCTTCAATAAAATTATGATAATGGAATAAAAATGAATAAATCCACTCTTCCTTTGACAGTTGTAATTAGATGAAAAGTTCTGTAATTTACAGTTGAAAACGATAAGGTCATCACCAAATAAAGTACAACAAACCAGAAAAGCAATTTTGAAAAAGCATCAATCACCTTTAAAAACAAAACAAACACTGAAGATTTGTGACAAAGTGACGGAGCTTCCCATTGCAAGTGATTGGGATGAAAAGAAATTAAAAAAGGTGAAAAAAGGTCAACATTAGGATGAAAAATAAACAATTCAGTAATTGTGATGCTTTGGCAGAATAAAGAGCAATATATATTTCAGAAATCCTGTACAGTCAATGAACAAAAACTACAATCTTCAAATCTAATCCAATTAAAAATCACTTTTTATAATAATGTTCCCCGTTTGCCTTCAACTCTTTTTTTCTTGGCTTCATGTAATTCGTCCGAAACTCGATTTTTTAGCATGCCTTTCCTTTTCATTTGGTATTCAATCATGCGAGCATTCAGCGTATAAGACTCCGCTATTTCTCGCTTAAATATTCATTAAAATTAAGTGCGGATAAAGTGCAATACAGAATTTCTGTAATTATGTTTACAAGTTTATGTTGTACTGAAAATGGAGGTTTTTCCATTTTATATCATGCTTTCTATAGTCCACAACAATATATAGCAGCACTAATAGCAAGGCAGTTGAAGAATAAAATGTGTGACACATACACACTCATCAGACAAAATTATATGCGTGACACATAAGAAAGCTGAAACCGGTATAGCTTAAATAAAAATAAGTTACTTACTGCTTCGAGTTCATCTTCTGCTTCCTCCACAGTAGAAACAGTTACAGAGCCAACTTTTCCTTGATTTTTCACATGTTTTGTCATGATAACCTAAATACTTTTTCAGAAACAAGAAAGGAATTAAATATAAAATATTGGGCTAAGAAACAAATGACATTTAACTGACTTTTAAAATTTAATCGAAGAACTAGAAGTATATCAAAATGAACCTTTTTGACTGGTTGTTCTTCGTTAGCTAATTTTAGTCCACCAATCTGCTGTGCAGAACGTACAGCATCATAAAAAATAAATAGATAATTTTTCAAATTGAAGGGGTGACAATAGAAAAGTGGAATTCCGCACTTGTGGCAGTTTTTTCTGTACTGCTGCTCCAGTCCTTCTTTTCTACAACAAGTAAACTAATGTTACAAAAAATGATATCTCTATAAATAATTTCCATTAAGCAACATACGCTAAGGTACAATCATTAAAAAATATATCATGAAGGCAGGGCGCGTGCATATATTCTCAAAAATATTACACTATATTAATCAGAGTCATAGAATGAATTAGAATTCCTGAAGTACCAGTTAAAAGATTGAGAAAGTCATAAAATACTAAATTTCGTGTTAATGATCAAGAAATTTGACCTTTCTTACCTTCGGACGTAAACCGTATCACCATTCACAGCAAATGTTTTAGCTTCCGTACGTGAAGGATCGATAACACGAGCTCGATCACGTCGTCGCAAAGGCATCCGTGTTATCAATGTGTCTGTTATCATAGCAATCTTCAAATAAACGATACTTATATTCTGAAACTGACTAACCTCTATCTATTTCTCCCCCTTTTTTATTGTGAAAGAAAAAATTTTTATTAATGTTCAAATTTATTTCATTTCATTTCATTCAATGTTCCATCCGTAATTTTTCTTTAAATTAGGCATTTCTATGAAACTGCTTCAAATCAAGCGTAAATTTTACAATGTAATCTGCTTCACTTTTTCAAGGAAATGAAAATGAGAGGAAGAAGTGTACCTGTCCACAATGGCAATAATAAGTGTGCAAAGGCTTCACAAAATGTTCTTCACGATCTTGTTCATCAACGATTTTGCCTTCTCCACGAAAACGATCGTCTTCCACATGCTCTACTTCATGTGGATCACCTTTGATCATTGATGTCATACTTCTTAAACGTCACTCTTACGCGATATATAAAGGCTTGGCATCATACGTAAGCCATAACGAGTCAACGTGCATGACCTTTTCTCTCTCTCTGCATCATTTACCTCCTTTTTCTCGTATATCTTTGCTGTTTCTCTTAGAAAGTTTTATCTTTTACTGCAATTAACTTCCTCTTTTTTTCTGTCTCTCATTATTTTCCAGTTCCCACATGTTTTCTTCTAAGTGTCAGAATGCGAATACATATTCCTTTCTCATTTAAATTTAGGTATTAGGGCGTTACGTTCTCACTTGCAAATTGTATTGATTTGTGCATCATTAATCAAAAATAGGTAATTTTCGTATGAAAAGTTAAGCGCAGGCAATTTTTATTGAAAAAGTGTAAAAATTTTATTAAACATTTCTGTATTTTTAAAATACTGATTTGATTATCAGTTTCATGCTACTGATTTGATTATCAACTTTATACTTTGTTCCTAAGTTTTCTAGAACTTTTTAATAAGCAAATTAATTTGATCTCTCTCTCTCCTTAACCATTTCATGACCTTTTTGTTTAAAAGCAAATTTTGTTTTTTGTCAAGAACACGATCACTAAGAGTTATATACGCTAGTGAAGTGTGCAATTTTATGATCAGATCATCGTCGTTACGGTATTATGATTTTAATATGCATTAGAATTAATGTTTTTAATAATTTGTTTGATTATTACCTTAAAAATCTTTTTTGTCCATGTACAAAAATCAAAAAATAGCATTGCAATACTCTTTCTTATTATGAAGAAAGGCGAGAAAAAGTTACATAGTCTTTTCGAACATGTTATCTTCAATCAACTATTACATTACTCATTTAAAAAATCAAATATTCAAAGTAAAAATAAGTGTGAAAAATGTTTTAGTCATTGGTGGATCAGGAATTTCACATTTTTATATTCCCGCATCTCACATTTTAGAATTCAAGCAAATCATCAGATCTTCTAAATGTTTCTCACTCACATTTAGCTGCACTAGAAATTAAAAATTGTTCTCGTCTCTGCAAATTGTAATAATAATGTAAAAAATAGATATTGTAAATGAAGAAATCTCTCGTTATTGACAGAACTTCAATTAGAATTCACTGGAGTCAAGAATTAAAAGTTTGGGAAATAAATCAGATCTTTAATTCAGAGATAATTTGAATAAGTGTGACATTAATCTTTTAAGATGTAAGAGACGATTTTCTTTTGACAAATATACTTTAGTCATATGTGAGATAAAGTTTATCTGCTTGATTTTGTTATAATTGAACTGATAGTTAGTATAACTATATCTTGATTCATTTTAAGGTTTAAAATCCGCCTAGAAAGTAGTTTCAGCATCTTAAGCTGAATTTTTCAATTGTTATCGATGTTTGGTGTAGTCGTAACTCCTCCACTCAATGAAGCGGAGATTATGCATGCTGTTTTTGTGAACGAGAAAGAGCCATTGTTATTCATCAGGAAAACATCAGGAGTGCAATTTTCAAGAATGAGTAAGCAGGAACGAAAGGAAATGGAAAAAGTGAGTTATTTGTTATGATTTAATTTTATTATATAGTTCTTGATGGAACTTCGTTTTATTTTACCTTGAGATTGTGATTTCATTGGTGGTCTTAATTTTTTGAATCCGAATTTTTGAAAGATGAATTACATCAAAATGTTTTGTAAGTCTGGATTCTTTGAAAAAATAATTTTCAGAGATTTAAATAATTACATTGTGATAAACTCCTGGTTACTACAAAATTTATTATTAAAAACAGCTTCTTTACTGTTTTTTTTCATCTTCATATTGCAAATTTTTTTATTACGCTATTTAATTTTTATGACATTTGAGGCTCAAAAAAATAAATCTGTGGATTTTGGTGATTGGATTGAATTTGAACAATGCGACATTGCTAATGGATGCATTGCTAAGTACCAAAAAATATATCCATTGAATCCTTCACGGAGCGACGGAGAGAACTTACAGGTAAGAATTATCTGATGAAGTTTCGAATCATATAAATAATTGTGAATAAATAATTGTGAATCATATAAATAATTGTGTTTTTTTTAAAATCTGGATTCTTATTTGATAAATATTCTATATAGCATTTTTTATTGGGTTCCATTATTTCTTTTATTCTTGAGGTCTAGATCTTTCATTACAGATTGAATCGGTCTGTGTTTTTCCACCTTTGGGTCACGGTTGGGATAACTTTTGTTATTGTCGACTGTTTGGTAGAGTGGCAGTTGATCCAGAGTTCAAAAATTGTTTTCTTGCTGATGTTGCCTATCGGCAAGTTTGCTGATTCAAATTGTTCACGCAGAGTTGTTCATCATTTATTCAACCCTGTGATTGTTTTGCCAATTAAAAAATTGCTGCAACATTTCATGATTTAAGTTTATTAGATATGCATTTGCTGCCTTGATTAATGCAGATATTTTCTGTTATTTCAGTTGTTGGATATCAGTACAGGTAACACGTATATCATCTCTCAGTGTTAGTTTCGGTGAGTATATCGATGTAGCAGAAGATCAGAATATTGTAACTGAGGTGGTAAGTTTTAATCAATATCACAGTTCATTGGCGCTTCATTACTTACATGTGACTAATCTGTTTTATAAAATACTCGAAAGTTTGAGTTCCGTATTATTCGACTTAAATCTATACAAATGTTGGAATCGATAAAGAAATGTTGAGGATTTGTAGGCAGGTTTTTACTTTTCTATTTTCTGCAGTGATTTGTATGTTATAAATTGATGGATTTTCAAAATTTGAAACTTGATCATTACCGCCACTGTCATTTATGGAAGCAGACAAATCAACCTATATTCAAATTTCAGCCATGGAATCATAGAGACCCTCGTTTCGTCGCTACCGCTGATAGTGATAGTGAAAATGATGCAGAATCAAACTATTTTAGCAAGTTGATGTATCCTTACGAGGTATTCGCTTTGTTTTAGTTTGCTTATTTTGTTGCTGTTTTCTAATCATATTTTGAGTGACACCCATAATTTTCGAGTTTTTCTTGTAATGTTTTTTGACCTATTCATCTTCCATAGTTTTGGTGAATAAGCATAAAAATTATGCTTTTAATTTAAAACAAAGCTGTGCAGTATAAGACATTGTTTTATGTTTGAATAAATCAAGAGTTTTTCAGTACTTTCAATTATTTTCGATCTAAAAATAATTCTAATTAAGAAGTGCAAACTTGCTTACATCCGTCTTCCCAAACTTCTGTAAAAGTGTTTAATATAGTATTAGTTTAACTGGAGTTGGAAACATGCAATTGCTTTTTATTTTTTACGGCTTGGAGAAAGGTCATGATAGTACTTAGTTTATGCATGTAAATTTATGTATGCAAAATCATGACTGAACATCTCCATCCTTCTAAGAAATATTCATCATAATTATTAAATTTATAGAATGAAAAAAATTAAAAAACTATACTCAAAAGTAATGTCATCTAAGTGGCGCTGCTTTTCCTAAGCTGCTAAATTGATCACAGCAAAGTGGAAATTTAGTATTTTCAAAATGCATTATTTGAAAGTACTAAATATGACAATAATTAGTCATTACAAAGCAAATGTTTGCCACTATCACTATGTGATCATTAATGTTGTAGGTATATGATGTGCAAGGGGTCCTGATTAGCGAAAGAAATATTTATAGTGCAGATTATCCAGATGTCAGAATTGTGCTAGCTTATGTTAAACGTGAGCGGCGTACACCAGTTGGCGGTCGAATGTATTTTACTGCCTACTACAGCGTTCCTCTACAATCATATGTTGTCCGGTCTTATCGATCTTTTGAGCAAAAACCTTTCATTGTAAAATTATTCGATTTCGGCTCACTATTTTTGGTATTTCTCAATCATTTTTATTCGTACTGAGCTAAAAAATGAAAAGGCAATTTAAAAAAAGGACATTTGAATTTTCGTTGATGTCAGTCATTACATGCCTAAAATGTTTGTATCTGTAACGATTTTATCTGGTAGCTGCAGATTTGGTATTACTTGTGCAGGAAGATTTTGTTAATTGCTACTAAAAAATGAAAAGGGATTAATGAATAATGTTTTTGAACAGTTTCGTTTTATTCCATAATCTTTTCAACAATTTAGTTAGAAGTGAATGTGAAATGGGATCAAGATTTGCCAATGGGATATCTCTGGAGCAGAAATAAGGAATTGGGTCTAATCTATGATTCGGATGGATTATTGGTACCTGCATTGCTGGGCAAAAGTCCTTATGCGTCGGTCCATGTGTATGTCGCGGATACAGGCCCTAGTCGCTTAAGTCGTTTTTCAATAAAAGATCTGTCTGATGCAGCGACTAGAAGGGTAGATGCAGTGACATGCAATGGATACGTGAGTATTTTTATTAGTATTCTCCATCATAATTTTATTAGTATTCTCCATCACTCAACGTAAGATTTTTGAGGGCAGAAGTTAATGTATTTAAACAATGTTTCTCATATTTTCATAACAGGAAGTACTGTTTATAATTTGGATAAACACTAACTTCTATATTTAGACTGACATATCAGATAGTGGATTATTTTTGGGAAATGATTCCGTCCTGGCATCTCGTTATTACTGTCTAAAAATTGTTTTTGATGAAAATTCACAAGAAGGGTGGAAAAAATTACGTCCGGGAACATGGATCAAGTTCACAGCAGGGAGTAGTTGTGGATTGCCTAATTTTAAAGTTAAATCTTGGAGTACCGCGATTGATCCACTTTTGTTGCCTGTTCGAGTGATCCCGATTAGTAATGGTTACGCAGTGAGTTTTTTATTTTTAAATAGAAATGTGCCTTTACATGATAGTCGCTGATTTTGGTCATGTATATATGGCTCTGATTCCGGTTCCTCTTCATTGATTTGGCACTATATCGTATTCCAACATTCAGTTCTGCTGATTTTGACACAGTGATCGAGTTCTTTTTGATATCCTTCACGGAGCATTTTTCCACAATCTCATATGTCTTCTGTCTGTTTTCATTCATAAATTGAGGTTCAGTTTTTCTCCTTTGTTCTCTGTTTCCTATTGTGTGATATAATTAAACCAGCCGGCTTTAACTATATATATATATGCAGTTTATTTAAGTTCAAAGCACGTGGTTATTTCGAACAAGAGTTAAGTGCTGTGAAATCGCCCATATTTGGTTTCATCGAAATACCCCTTAATAAGCGATCTTCAATGGTTCCAAAAGAAAAAGGTGTTACAATTATTTGGGTACGCGAAGATAAAGCAAATACAAAAGCTCGATTTGTGCTTCATTCATTAACTGTTCCAAAGCCTCTGGTAAGTGCAGCTGCAAATTTAAGCATAGGTAATATTAGTTTTGGTAGAAATGTTTAGTTTATCTGGAAGTGGATATACTCAGCAGTGTATGATAGGTTTGTAAATCTTGAGAAAGGTAAAAATTCCTCTTCTGTACTACTATTTTACATACGTCTTGCATTTAAGGAAGCCGAAACGATGCAAGGCGTCCAATCCCCAAATGCAGTGAATGGTGTTGAAAAAGACCCTATAATTGGAGAGGTATTTTCATGTCATTTTTCTTTCAGAATATTATTTTTAATTGCAGGGACTTAATCGTTTCATTTTCTATATAAAAAATAATTTGTTTAGCAAATTGAGCATTTAGTTGCACTTATATGTTTTGATTTGTAGGCATCGTGATGAATCAAAAATTAAACAGGAATCTTGTAAAATTGGTTTCAGATTCAGCCGATCGTACCTTGCAAAAGAATTGAGTGTGCTGGCAGAATTCTGCTTCAGCGCTGTTTAAGGAATAGCGACGTTAAGAAATATCTTAGTGAAGCATCTCGTGAATTTTTGTATTCAAAAATAGCAAAGCTGTTGGAATTGGAGAAGCCGATAGCTGGTGAACCTTGTACTTCAACAGAAGGAATGTTTGGAGATATTGTTATATCACCTTAAAATTCTTCTTTAGCACCTTATTTAAGACTTGTAAAGTTTCAGGATTTCCAGACATTTGTGTTACATTTCACCGGGCGTTTACTCATCAAAGAATGAAAGACTGTACACAGCTTTCATTTATAAAATTAATGCTTATTACCTATGTTGTTTCATCTTTTATTATCTTTGCTTATTTGTGTGACTTTTGGATTTCATTTAATTGAAATCTATTATTATCTTCATTTACTCAACATATTTACAATATAAGTGGCGGCCCTCTTGAGTTTTAGTTTTTGTTTCTTGGTGCTGTTCTGTCTCTCTGCAAATCTTAATTTTGTAGTTGAAAGGTTCAAGGATCCAACAGCATTTGCAACAGGTATTTACATTTCCTTTTGAAGTTTATTAAATTTTATAGCAAGTTTATCTCTTTTTTCAGTGCTACGTGTATTTACTGTTCTTTGTCCATCAGAAAGTTACTTTGTGTTACTGTTTCTTTATGAGTGAAATATGCGAATTCTAACTTTATGATTTGCAAATTTTCTGCTTTTGTTAAATTTTCGTGGTTGTCATTTTAGTAGTGACCAGTTTGTTAGAAAAGAAGTGCGATAAGGCAATTCATCTCTTGTGTTCTTTATACGTGTTTTCTAGAAAGATAAACGTGGATATTGGCCTCAGTTTTTCAGCATATCTATTACCATACCATTAAGAAATTCACATGTGGACAAAAAGGTAATGTGTGTATAACATGTGTGCGTCTTCAAACATGGTTTAAAATAAAGCTTTGAAATTATAGATGACAAAGAGTGGAAGGAAATGAGATCAGATGGGGTTGTTAATGTCTGTTTAACAACTTCAGTAAGAATTTTTGATTGAAGTTAAAATTTTTATGCTCTGAAGATTTGGTGCCCAAGACCAGATATCAATGACCTGTACAAATTTCGTAATTGTATTTTCCAACAACGAAATTATGATTTTATTAGAACAAAGTTTTTTGGGACGGATTTGGTACTGAAACAAAATGCTCAGATTCCGATCAGTAGTTCGTGCTCATGATCTTAACTCTTCTAACAGTACTCAGTCAAATAGTTGACTGTATACTTTGTGTACTGGTAGATTGAGAAATGCTTATTTTGCCGCAGATCTTTCTAATGATACCAGAGATTAGCAGCTTGACAAATTTTAAAAGCTTCCATCGCAAATCGAGTGACAACCTGTGAATAATTCTCGTTACCAAATTGAGTAAAAAAGAGTTCGCATTTTTTAAGATAGATATTCCATTACTTCGGTATTTGTGAATCCTGTTCTATCAGATGTATACTGCTCGGATTATTAAATGATTAGTTATTAAATTCAATCTCTGATTGATTCATTAAGAGTACAATGGCAATCTTATCATAAGTCATACGTAACACGTCTTATCTATTCATTTTCATTTTAATTTTGTGGAATAGTTACCAGCGATACTTTATTAAAGAGAAATTTTAAGGTAATTCGGGATAATATTTGCATATTTCGTCCTTGAATGAGAACGAATTTTATCATTTTATGCGTTTTGCGTCTTAATTCGATTTCAAGGCGGGAAATTTATTGCAAATTGGAATTGAAATGATTGCCTTAGGAGTGAAACATTCGATGGTCTGTGCTCTTCTTTTCATGACTTCTGCATAGGCTGGAGATATTAGGAGAGATCATCTGAATTAAACGTGTTATATTATGTCAATGTGTTACTAATATTTCATAGAATTTTTGCAATTGTTTATGTCGAGTGAGTTTTAAATTAAGATGTGAAAATTGACTTCAATATTTAATATTTAAAACTCTATCTGAGGCATTTTTGATTGAACATTTTCTATGGAATTTATTGATTACATTTAATGCAAGCTATTACATATAGAGAATGTCAAGGCAAATAGATTGATGTATTCGTCGTAAGTAGTGTAGTATTGATCAGTGATCCGTTTTTTGAATACTGTCTTACTCTGAAGGTAAATTCATTTTGACCTTCTTGATATTTGACAGTTTTCTTTCATTTCCAATAATATGTGTTTGTTTAGAGGAAAAAACAAAAGCAAGATTTGCATCTCTGTACTCATAGTTAAGGTACGTTAAATTCGATAATTTAGTGAGTAAAAAACTGAAAGATTAATCATGAGTATATAATACTTGAGACATATACATATGTATAAAGCCGCAGATTTGAAAAATAAATTTGAATTCTATGTAATCGTCCAAAAATGAATGAATTTATATATTAGGATTGATTGCTCTTGAAGAAATTCTTATATAAATCATCAAAGCTGTAAATTATTAAAAAATCGAACTCAGTTATTTTATTTACCGTACTATGTTTGTTTTATATAGCTGAAAAGTCTAACTTTTAAAATATTATTTATGATTATTATTTTCTCAAGAATGACATTTTATCATTCCTTTTCAACAATTGCGATATCTATAAACAAAAAACTGAAAATCATTGTATTTGTAAACCATTAATTTGACTCATTACCATAATTGTTTTTTTTTCTCTCACGAGATTAATTTTATGTGCAAAGAAACACTTCGCGTTATCGAAATCCATAACAGAAGTTCGCCAATTTTAGTTGTATCAACTTCAATACTAACAATGCCACTGGAAGAAGTTGATTTTAACTCGCTGAATATAAAAGAGAATTTGAAAAACTATGAGGTTGTGTTTACAAAACTATTTTCTTCTAAAGTTTCAACTTGTGAAGTTGCAAATTTTTTGAAATTTTAATTTTGATTATGATTTTTTTGTTGAAATTCAAATAGCTGTTTAGCATTTCATATTTGTTTTATTTAGATTGACTCATCAAAGCAAGTTTATTCAACAGTAGAATCAGATGAAGAAATTTTATTGGTTGATAATCCGAATCGTTTTGTTATATTTCCAATTAAATTTCATGATATTTGGGATTTCTACAAGAAGGCTGTAGCATCATTCTGGACAGTTGATGAGGTTTGGTACAATGAAGAATTGCGTTATAATCTGTGCATGAAGTGAATTTTTTCTCTGCCACACAAGCAATCATCAATTTTACCACTGACTTTAATTTTATTTTTAGATCGATTTAAGTAAAGATTACCGTCATTGGATAAATTTGAACGATGGAGAGCGCCATTTTATTTCCAGAGTTCTAGCTTTTTTTGCCGCATCAGATGGTATTGTCAATGAAAATTTGGTATTCTTTTTTTCAAATTTTTTTGGAAACACCAAAATTGTGCAAGTACAGATCACATTCTTGAAAAGTTTTTCTGCATTTGTTCGAAATTCATGTAATCGTTTTAAGGTAAATCGCTTTTCTCAAGAAGTCCAAGTACCAGAAGCTCGGTTTTTCTACGGTTTTCAAATTATGGTGGAAAATATTCATTCAGAAATGTACTCAAAAATGATCGAGACCTATATTCGTGATGAAGCTGAAAAGTATGTATTATTATTGTGTGCCTAACTGGAGATGTTTTTGTGATCATTTGGTATTTTTTAAAATTACATCTGCAACTCACGTTTTTAAAATATGAAAATATCTCATCTTTAAATATTCATCTATATACTTCCTTCACACAAAATAAATCAAATTCATTACGTATGCCTGCAATTCAAAATTTTAATATTAGACATTTTTAATTTAGGTCATCTTTGTTCAATGCAATATTTGAATTTGAATTTATAAAAAAGAAAGCAGATTGGGCGCTGCGTTGGATAGCAGATAAGAGATCACCATTTGCGGAACGCTTAATAGCTTTTGCTGCTGTTGAGGGTCAGTTCATACCTAATTGTTTTCTCCGATATTTCGTTGTATTTCATAAAATCTTGATATCTGATGACAGTATGTAATAACTGTTTAGGGATATTTTTCTCTGGGAGTTTTGCTGCTATATTTTGGCTAAAAAAGCGTGGTTTGATGCCTGGTTTGAGTCACAGCAATGAACTTATTTCGAGAGATGAAGTCAGTTTCGTAAACTCAATCTTTTAAAACAACAGTGATAGTACAGTATCAAGTCAAACTCTTCAAAAGTCTAAATTTTAATTTATGAAGCAACCAGATGGAAATTATTAACTAGTTTAAAGGTCAAAAAAAGCACTTCTTATATTTAAATTATACTTAAGCTACTTCATTTTTTGTGTGATTTCTTTTAAAAAGTTCAGTAATAACTTTTAACTTCAAAAACCGAATTGTTGGAATTAGCTGAAACTTGGTTCTATTTCCAGGGCTTGCATCGTGACTTTGCTTGTCTTTTGTATGGTTATATCAAAAATAAACCATCAGAAAGAAGAATTAATGATATTATACGCGAAGCAGTTGACATTGAGAAAGTAAGCATTCAGTGTTTCAGTTTATTACTCCCATAAGTAAAATTTGGAAAATTGCTATAGTTTTTTTCTGTGTAAGCATATTAACAGAACGGCAATAATAAAATATAATGATTAAATTGAAATATAGGAATATCTCACTGAAGCACTGCCTGTTAATTTAATTGGCATGAACTGCAAATTAATGTGTCAATATATTGAATATGTAGCGGACCATTTACTCACAGAACTTCACTGTTCAAAGGTAATTTTTGGTGAATTTTTTTCATTGCTTAGAAAGCAAAACTTTTATGATGAAATTGCGATTTCAATTTCATGGTCCAATTTTTAAGATCTACTATTCTGACAATCCTTTCGATTTTATGGAACGTATATCAGTGGAAGGAAAAACCAATTTTTTTGAAAAACGTGTCAGTGAATACCAAAAAGCAGGTGTACTAGGTACTGATGATGGTAAAAAATTCAAGCTAGATTCAGACTTCTGAACTTTTTCTTTATAACAAAATGATTATATCTCATGAATACTTTTGTCCTGATAATTACTTATGCTGTTTTATGTTTCCAAAATTTCAAACAAATTCCTTTCATTTCATTCACTGAGTCTTAATGTTTTTTCGTTCATAGTAAGGAATAATTTAAATCTGTTTTTTGCGGAATCTCCAGTTTATGCTGATGCTAATTATTTGTTTATGCAAATCAGTTGAGAATTCCTGTTTGATGATAGTTGATATGCTTCTCTTATGCATTTTATACCTTGGTACCGTTTTTTTTGTTGACTTCAAAATCATTGATTGAGTAATGATGAGATACTTAATGTTTGCAGAGGTATGCTCTGCTTGTATTTATTTATCACTTAAAAGGTTAAGTTTTCACTGCAATCTGTTTATTAAATCCTTGATATGTTTCACTTTAGATATTGTATGTTGAGTATTTCTGGTGTTCGTACTGAAATGAAAAAGTGACTTCCAGAATAATGTCAAGAACTCACTTTTTATGTTTAAAATGGTTCAGAAAACATAATGAATGAGATATATCAGTAAATAAAGTCGTCTAGAAACCGTAATAAAGACTGCCTGTAAAGTATTCCCTTTACAATGTTTTCGAACGCAATTTGTTGAAAAATCTTTATCTCTGATCATTATATAAATAAAGTATCATACAATATCACCGTACACAAGAAATCTCTGTTGTCAGTGTAATAGCAAGACGAGAAGGCAAATGTTTTACGAAATTCTGATCTGACATTTAGCGCCAGCAAGAAACAAATTGATACAGTTAAATGACTTTATAAGTAAAGCGACGCGAGAGTCTCATGAGACTTACAAACGAAATAGTATTGCAAAAACTATAGGATAAGAGTTCTCAGGGATTTCTGATAATAGCAACTGTGATAACACTACTGATTTTCAAGCAGACATCAACTCGATTATTTATTTGCATAATCAGAAATTGAGGTAAAATCGATATGTTACTGTAATTTCAAAAGTTTGCGCACTGAAGAATTGATAAAGTACCATGTATCAATCTGAATGCATTTTGGGTAATTTGGAATTATGCTATTCAAACTTCTTTCTTTGGTACTTAATAAATTTCAATCACATTTAAGACGAATAAAAACCAAATAAAGAAATATTCAATAACAAACAGTCAAATATATTCAGTGAGTACAAAAATTACACAAATTAAGTGATTAGAAAGGTAAAATAGGCCCAAAATAAAAAAATATTTGACAAACTTTAAAATTGAAGCAAATTTGGAAAATTCGACTTTATTAGACATTTGAAATGGATCAAAATAATAACTACACTAATAAATAATGGTCAATGAGCAAATTCACATTATTTGTTTTTATTCCACATTCCCCAACAAAAATAAATTCACGAATTTTGGAATACCTAAATAAAGTCTATAAATAAATATTAAAAAGAGATAAAATAATTCAAATATTTAAATTCACCGAACCATGCGAACGCGAATTCAAAAAAAAAGAAAAGAGGGAATCCAACAAAAAAAGAATAAGCGTTCAGAGTTCCAAATATAGCAGCACTCTTTTCTCACTATCATATGCTGATTTCGTCAAATTTTTTAATTTACAGTGTGCATCAACTATTCCTCGTAAAGGCGAACTCTTTTTAATATTTTAGCTCATTTCTAAAGTACATCTAGGAAACTTTCAAACACTATATTTTTGATGAAGATAAAAAAAGTAATGAATCCTATAAGAGTCACAGAACCAACTCTGATTATTGGAAAGATAAAGAAATACCACATATTTTATCTTTAGTTGTATGTTACAGATGCAGCATTCAAGCCCGGTAAGTTATTGTTACTGAAAGAAGAACGCTGATATCCACGTAAGACTCGATCTTTCAACCTGAAACCAACTTTTAGTCCATAAAGATTTAAAAACAATTTAGCTGCTACCGCCGATCAAAAACATTTTAGTACTCTTGCCCATAAAATCTCAAATTTTGTCAAATTCCTATCCAAAAAGTAAATGAAATCAATCATAGAATGAATAACTATCCATATAAAATATTACGAATAATAATATATAAATTACAATCAAATTTAGCAGTTCAAAAAGTAAATGTATGTAAGGCTGTAGCAACAAAAAAATCGAAAAATAATTTATTATATAAAGTAGAAAAACTATTTTAGTATGATGCAACCAAAACTAACCGTAAATGAACTAAGAGCAAATTTATTTTTGCATGCTTATTCGTAATCATTGAGACAAGGTAATTTTAAAATTCAAATATTTAATTTAATCAACAAACACTATGAGAAATAAATTAAACCTGTCATCTCCATACTCGCAAACGATACATTTTTTGTTTCGATTGAGTGCCAATAAAATTTGATATGCAGATGAAGACTTGATAACTGTGTTATATGTACAATTGCGTAATAGCACTAAATTTACTTCCAATCTCTAAAAAATTAGTAAATAACCAACCTTTAACAGAATTATGATGTTTAAAGTAAGTATGGTTGATGAATTCATCAAAATTTAAATAATGTTTTTTCTGAAGAAAGAGAATAAAATTAAACGTCAAACCAAAATTTTTTCTGATTCCCACTTGAAAAACTACCTCAAATAAATTAAGGTGTTTAAGAATTCAAAGGCTAAAGTTGCACAGAGATAAAGCTCTAATTTTAGAAAAAATAGTGTTTTCACACCACAATACTGATAAAATCACTTCAAGTGTGCGTTCAACATCAGGAATGTCGGGCATTTTGAAATCCACATTTAAAAATTCGATAGATTGAATTCGCCATGCTCTCACATGAACGATGCCCCGAAGTAAACGTTGAAAACTAGGATAATTAGCCTGAAATCAAAAAAAAAGAAAAAAAACCTTTTGAAAAGAAACAAATAATGAGTGCCAACGACTTTAGAAATGTTGTAGCTAAAAAGTAAAGCGTTAAGTTGATCAGTCTTTGTGGTTTATTTTTGCACTAAATAAAACATTAACTGTTAAGAAAATAGTCTACAAACACTGCTAAATCATGCAAACAACTAAAATTATATACCGAAGAAACTGAATTTCTAAAAGTGTTAATCAAATTGTGTGATTACAAACTGCAGTTAATTTTAGCATAAGATAAGCTTACTGCAAAAGGACGAATATCACATCTTGAATGAAACTGAAGAATAAATTTGCCACTAGCCGTTTCCATTACTGATAATCGACTTGGAGATAGTCCTACCCGATACATGTAATCAACACCATCTAAGAATTGCTGACCCGATGTTTTTAGAAGCAATTTTTCCGTTGCCATAGCAGTTAAACTCTTGACTAAAATCATTTTGGCAGGAAATCCTTACTAGGTGAAAGCTTCCCCTTTCCCTGAAATTTGTGTTCCTCATAACTAAAGTATAAATATAAAACAGGAAACACTGTACAAAATTTATACAGTAATCTTCAAAACAAACAATATATAGATATGAAAGACATTCTTATAACTTTGTAGCTTCTTTGAGGACTTTCTTGCATTAAAATTATATTTCTGCTAATAAATAGCTTTGCAACAGATAATTAGTGAATAAAGACTAATAAGTGATAGTAATTAGTAAAAAACTAACAAGCATTTAATGGTAAGTAATAAAACATTAATAATATCCTAAAACTGAAAAAATAGTTAATAAATTTGTAAAAATAATTAACAAAACAACCGTGACAGATGAAAAATGTAGCTGTATTAGCAAACAAAATGCTAGTCCTATTAAAATTAAACAGACACAACACAACGACCTTTCACTTATTAGACATCGGATTACAGACGTTTCTGACAGGTTTGTTTCATGCTGATAAATTTAACTCATGGACTGGATCCTTTTCAAGTCGATCCCTACAATTAAACTCGGATTGTTTATTTTTAACGGGCCAAGTTTTGAATTAGTTTTTCTAAACGCGCTGTTTTGAGTTGTAGTAAGTAAGCAAAAAAAGTTTACCAATGGTGTTAAAAACAATCATCACAGTTTTTTCTTTAGTTTCGAGTTTAATTCGACTTAAAATTTTGTGTCTTGTTTCAGATCGAACTTGATCTATGTCGAAAATTTATTTTGCCAGGAACTAGGATATTATTCAATAATTAATCATTATTGCTTATCAGAATCATGATTCTGGCAAAGTAATACAGAACGCTTAATATTTTATTGTATCTCAGAAAAATAAGCACTGTAACTGGTCATTTGAAAACATAATTAGTATCTATGTAGATTACAATAAAAAATATGTATTTACAGTAGAAAGTTAAGAATAACTGCAAAAGAATAATTTGAAGCTCAGACGGCTTGCAGTTGGAAATTTTGACCGAAAAATTTGATATTAATTCGCAGATTTAATATTTAAAATCAAATGTTGCATGCATAAATGTGATTTAATGATTATTCGTTGAAATTAGATTGTCTAAATGGTGTTTTTTGACCGCGTTCGGAAATATTAGTTTCGCTGATAATTGTTGCGATGGATAATTATCTGGGCGAGATTGCTTATACCATTCACTATCGTTTTATATTTATGTTTGAAGCAGTGACCTAGTCTTTATTAGCAATATATTGCTTTCGTTCCTTTTTAGGTATGAATAATTTTTCTACTTCTTCCATCGTTATACCTTTGGTTTCTGGTACGAAGAAAAAAACGAAGCAAAGTGCTAGCACTGAGAATCCATCATAGACAAAGAATGCTCCTGCAAAAATATCATATTTGTAAAAGTATGATGTTTTACTTTTTCTTGTATTATATTAGAAACAAGTCATGTTTTTCAGTATTTAACATTCAATTCTTATATTGAAATCCGCATTGTATGTTGTATGATTGTGAACTATAGACTTTCATAAAAATGAGCAACAGTTTTGTAACCCATTTTGTAGTATTTTAATTTCTATGATCAAACCAAATCTTGTAGCAGTTTCATTAAGTGTCAAAAAAGTTAGCGAAACGATCAAATTGAAAGTCCAGTTTATGGAAGTGGATAAAGCACAAGCAGTACTTCTAGCCCATGCTGGATAAAATTCACTGTTTAGCACCCAGCAAAGGGGTGCATAACCTGAAATTGTTTAATGTTTTATATTTCAGAATTTGATCCAAGAACTGTCATTGAAAAGCAGTGTGAAAACATCAAACTTTGTGATTTACTTACCGATAGCGAACGAAATCATGAAAGTGAACATGAAAATGATTGGCAGCAAATAAAATCTGGTCTTGCAATAACTGTTATTAAAAAAGTATGTTTCATTATGATTTACACTGCAATAACCAAAAATGGATACATCAGGGTTTTCCAATGTCAATGGCAAACACCAACTGAAATTACTTTATTTTTAGCTATCAGAATCCTCTCTAAGAGTCAGGATTTGTTCATTAAATTTCAAAATTCTAGCTCAGTTAATATGATTTAATGGCGTCTGTGTTTTTTCAATTTGGCATTAGTTAAAAATTCAATTTGAGATTAGTTGAAAATTTCAGTATATAAAAATGATCGTGAAGGTAAGAAACCCCTTTTGTTCCTGTTCACTCGACGTATGACAGAAACCGCAAAATTCATTGGTAACGCATGCATCACAGTTACTAAAAATGTATCCGATTAATTGATCTGATGTAAAATTTTTTGCAGTAAACATTCCGAGAAATTATGAAGTAATGAATAATGCAGATTAAATGGTGCTTTCAGAACAGCAGAATACTTTATGATTGATTAAAATTTACATATACTGCAAATTTTTTATCTCCTTTTTTTAGAATCGGTCCGCTTTATTGAGATATTAAATATTTAAGATTTTTGCACAGAAAGTAAAATATATCTCTACGTGTGCCATTAATTTAAATTTTGTAGGTAGTTAGAAATGTTTCATTTTCTCATAATTGTTGCAGATTCAATGGAGATAGGAATGAAAGCATACTGCAGGTGATGACACCGATTATATCCACTTAGGATAACATCGGTTTTAGCTCCAGAATACATCTCTGAAAGAGTATATGGAGTGCTTTGTAGCGATTCTTGATGAATTAGCAAAAATGAGATCCCGAGCATTGTAAGTGACATAATAACACAAAAGATAGAAATTAGCATCAACCGCCGACGTCCGTATTTCTCCACTGTAGCCATTGGAATGAATGTAACCAAAAAGTTCACAGCTACAAAGATTTACTCTCCATTTAATTTTATTTATATACTTACTGTGTTTTAGTATTTAGCAAAATAAATTGCAAAGAAATTAATCTTTTTGTCAAATACGAGAACATGAAATTTAAAGTTTCAAGTGTTTTAACTACGTTCCCAAAAAAATCTGATTGGAAGTATATTTTGATGGTGATTTACATTACGTAATTTACCGGCTATGGCTGATGCGATCCATATTGATTGATGTAAATCTTTGATACCCGCGTTTTTCACAATTGTTGCTGTATAATACCTTGAAAAATTTTTTAGCTTTACAAATTTCGGAATGGAAATTAGTAAATGGTTTTCAAATTTTTCTAGTTATGTGATATAATGCGAGACAATATTTCAATTTCAGTAAAATAGTAGGAATATGTTATTTACTGTACGAAAAGTCTTGTGATATATAGGGCATTTTTATGTAATAAAAACTGGAAGGTATCCTTAAATAAGGAATTTGGGATTTGAAAAGTAATACATGATGGAGTTTACTCCGGATAACTGCTGAAAAGCTTGTATTGTACATCCGATAAAAAGTGCTTTCAGGACGTGAGGTGTAGTGAAGATACGAAGTAGTACTGACTGATCTAAAATAATTAGATTTAATTTTTCAGTAGTACAATTTAAACTACATCTAGAAACTTATAAAATAAGTCATAACAAAAAATATAGAAACTTATAAAGTAACTGATAGAAAAATAAGTGATAATACTTTTTATTTCATCCTTTATTTTTTTTTCTCGTTCATTAGCAATGTTGAGATTTGATAGTACGGATTTTACCCATTCTTGATTATTTCTGTAGATTTTGTTCAGTATCTGCAAGTTTTTTAAATTGATTTTCATTGTTCACTGCACATCTTAAAAATTATGCTATAAAGAGATTTGCATTTACATTCAAGATATTTACAGAAGCAGCTAGGTATTAGACAAATAAAATATTTTGCAGATTTATCAAAAACAAATGAGTAGCCTTGGTACCAATTTAAATTTCGAATTTTGTTCATCTGAGATGTATTGCAAGGAAAGCAACCTTTTCAGTTTTATCGTACTTCCCAGAAAAATACAGATAACGTGGGCTTTCTGGTAAAAAAATGAAGCCAACAAACTGCATAATTGAGGGAATCATCGCACATCCAACCATTAACCTCCAACCAATGTTTTCTGGTTCCCAATATGAGAATACTCCTTCAGTGCTATTTATTATTATTAAAAATGAATGTGCAAAAATTTTGCAAAAAAAAGGAACTAATTATAAAGCATAGAATTAGAGAATGATAATTTTGTGATTGCTAAAAAAAATAGTACAGTTAATTCTGGATGAAATAGTGTAGTTAGTTCTGGCTTAGCATAGTTCCATATTCTTGGTTTTGGTTCTGGATTTAGTTTCTGGTTTTAGTTTTTTTGGTTTAAAGTTATCCCTTAAGAACTTCAGTAGATGATTTTATGACTTCAGTTATGTCTTCATACTATATTTATCTTATCTGATTTCTGTGGTCAGATCAATATTTTTAATTTTTTAACTTCTGAAGATAACTTATATGACTATTGAATCATCTAAAAATTTCTATTCATATTTGATAGAATTGTTAAAGAGTTTAGTTCTAGCAAAAAAGGTGTACCAGCTAATACGTCAGCAGCGAATAAACCAAAAGTAATCATTAGCTGAAAAGCAGTAGTTAAACTTCCGCGCAGGTGATAAGGTGATGCTTCACTTACGTATATCGGCACTATCATTGATGAAAATCCTTTAAAAATTAAAAAAATACGAAAAGGATACCTTTTCAAAACTGTTGTTTTATACCATTAAATCTTGTTGATTAATTTTTTTTTTTAAATCTTAAATTTGTGAGAAAAAAAAAAAGTGAAACTTGGAAAATTTGTAAATAACGCTGAATAATAAACTGTTTTAATTGAATTATAAGCTTTTATCAATTTATTTACTGATTTTATTTCATTGACATTAACAATTATAAATAATCTCATATCATGGATTAACTTTTATCGAGTTTAATAACTTACCAATTGCTGTACCCAGCAGAATCCTTCCAATTAGCAAAATTATCTTCGTTGTTGCAACGGCACACACAATCGCCCCAGCAGTAAATATCAAACTTGAAAATATAATAACTGTTCGTCTACCAAATTTATCAGAAATTGGTGCAGCAAATAAGGGACCTATAACTGCAGCACCTGAAAATAATTGATCTATTCAATATTTATTAAAAAAACTGAGAATATATAGTAATGGTTAATAAACTGTAAGAAGACTGTATGGTTATTATTATTTGCATCTGAGGGATTAAACATTTTAGTACAAAATACCTTTCAGAATAAAAAGCACTTTTTGACTACATAAAAAATCAAAAATTAGTAAAACATCAACCTGGTGTTAAACTAACGATCAATTCCTGCCAGAAATTATTCATTGGCACCATTCCGGGATTTCTCGGTATGAAAAGCATTGCACAAGAAACAATACCGGTATCATAACCAAATAGGAAACCGCTAATTACTGCCATAAATGCTAGATAATAAACATACAAGCTTAATTCTGGCTTTGTGTGAGGAGTCTCTATTGCAGTTATTTCCATTTGTTAAAAATTAAGTAATTCAATAATTTGTATTAAAATATTTCTGAAATGATTATAGAAAGTAAATATACATATTACTGTTTGATTCAAATCGTAGATGATTTTTTGTGTATTATTATATTACATATTTTTATTTTTGTTATTGTCATAATCAAATAATGAATTTATTAATTTTGAATAAAGCTGATAGAATTTAAATATTTCTTCCAGAATATAAAATAAAGCAAGTATCAATTTTATTTAAATTGCTATTAGAATGATATTCGACATTAAGATATATGAATATATGAATGCCATTTGAACTTTGACAATATTAACCTTCCACTTTTTGTTTTCCTTTCAAAGTTACAAGAAGTTTGGACCAAAATATTAAAGTGAGTAAAGTAGATTCTAGCACTAACTAATGAATGCATACAATTTGTTACCATTTTAATACGATAAAACGAAGAAGCAAAAAAAGGAAGTCACTATTAAGGAAGAAGGGAAACGTTGATAAAAACTTTGATAAGTGATAATATTCAAAACGTCAACGCTTAATATGAATTGATTACGTTCATTTTTTAGAAGCAATCAAATAAAAAATACATTTTTGATGATTGAAACTTAACTGATCATAAAATACTTATTAACATATTTTTGTACTTATTATTTAATTATTTATTTTTTATTCATTTATTAATTTATTTATCTACCATTATTGGCATGAATGCTTCAAGCTTTCTTCTGCCATCCTAGCGTTCAGTGACTGATAAAATCAGCTAACTGATAAATCTAAAAAATTTAGAAAATTTTGACCTCGAAAACTTCACTCAATCATATTTTCAAATAATTTGAAATATAAATTTATACAGTTAAATAATTATGCAAATAATTATTTCTACAATGTCAAGCAAAAAAATGTCAAAACATTTAATAGAATTAGCTTCAGGTTATTATAGAAATTTTTGCAGAAATATTAACTCTAAATCAGTTTAACTATATATCATAACAAAAATTCTTTATTTCATCAATGTTCAACACGAAAAAATTTTAAGGAAACAGTATCATATTTAATACTTCAGCTAATTAAAACTTCATCTTTTAATTAAAATTACCATTTGACGTACAGAAAGATTTTGAATATATTTTGATGTTAATTTATTAAGCTTAAAAGCTTTTTGATATGTAGCACCAAACTTACTCATCTAATTTCAGTACAAATTTTGAACTCGAAAACAACATCTTTGTTCTAACTGAATAATTAAAAAACGGTTATTTAATGAATGACCATTTGTGAGCAATTATCTCTCACAAATTTTTTATAAAATCAGAAAAGACACATAAAAATTTGTATTTTTTAAATGTTATGAGTATAAAAATTATAAGTATAAATATAAATGATTAGTAGAAAATAATATAAATGAATCCAAACTATTTTGGTGCTTTTTTGCTATGTAATGTTTCTAGAAGTGCGTACGGTTCTATCATATTTACCAATTTTTTCGTCAGATATGCATATAAGATTGAAAAGTAGATCCGAGATCAGATCGAACTTTTATGCAAATTATTAATCTCATATACAATCAGTAACTTTTACTGCGATCCTTGCATTCGAACAATTTTGAGTTTTTTGTATCATAATTTTTGTACTACTCATTTGCAAATAACATTTTCGCAAAATTTTTGGATTTTAAATTGTATAAAATTTGATTACTTGTTGACGGTTTCCTGATTTCCTGTTTTTGTAATAAACTAAAAAACTAATAATAATAATAATAATAATAATAATACAAATATAAATAGAATCAAAATTTAGTACAAAATTGTCAAAACTACTATATAATTTGATGTAAAATGAATTTCAATTTGTTCTCTTAATGATGATATTGAATAAAAATATAATAACCGCGAAGAAGACTTACTAGCATTTGGATTACTAGTCTAGGAGATTAAGAAAATAGACATCAAAACAAAACCTAATGAGCATGAAATTAGGTTTCTTGTACATATGTTTTATTTAATAATTATATTTAATTAAATTTTGTTGTAAATCAATTCAATCAAATTTGGCGGTTGCATTTTTCGTTTGTAATCAAATATGGAAATTAAGCTAAAAAACGATCGAATAATTCAAAAATTTGAAAAGCATAGTGTTCGTAAGTAATTTTTCACTTTGATCTAATAGTGATGTGTGCTGTTACTTTGCTATTTTTATCAAACTAAAATGTAATAAAAAATACTTCGCAAATTAAAATAGAATAATACTTTTTTTTTAAAAATTTGGAAATAATTTGATCTTTGAAATAAACTTTGATTTTGTTTCGATTTGTTCAATGAAATTTTTGAATTTTACAAAAATATATTTGAAAATAATTTCAGTTTATTTTAATATTATTTTAAGATATTGTTTATTTCAATGAAATTGTTTCTGAAACATATTATCATTTAAGATATTATTTTTAATAAAAACATTATTAAAAGATTTTATTCATTTCAATAAATTATTATTTTAAGATATTATCTCAATAAAATTGTTTCTAAAATTAGATTATTTTGACACTCTTAATTAAAATCCAAAAAGAATTCACGTCTTTTACGTTTTCAGAATATTAATTATTCTGCTTTTTTCTGAGTGCAATTCCGTTTCGTTTAATAAATTCATACTTATAAGTAAACAATAAGTAATGTTTTTGCTTTTACTTTTTAATTTATACTTTAGAAAGTAAAAAAAGTATAAAATCTTTGCAAAGTTAAACTGTTGATTGATCACAAAATTATTGCAACAAAAATGTTAACACGCGTCGTTTCATATGAATGTTCACTTAGCATTAGAAATGGATTCTGAATCCTCATGTTGGTATTTTAAATTGTTTTCATATATCATTTTGTAACAAATGTAAGTATACTGTAGAATTTATCAAATGTTTAATTAAAATTATCAAAAATTTGCATAGGTAAGTGACTCATCCGCTTAATCTAACAGTCCTCTAAAAACAAAACAACAAAATATTACAATCTGAACTTTCTTACTAAAAGTCTAAAACGTGGAATTAATAACCAAAATAATATTATACCAAAATTACCACAAGTGCTGCTCGATCAGTTTTACAATTTACGATGAATGATGGAATCATGCAAGTGGAGGAAATTGATCACAATGATGAAGATTGTTCAAGTAAACAGGTAACTTTTTAATACCAATACTATAACTAAAATTTGAACTTTATATTTTTCAAATATGTTTTTTCAAATTTTGAAATTAAAGAAAATTTAAAAGTTAAAATATGTTATTACAGATTAATTATAGCGTACGAAGCAAAAGAAGAAATTTCAGTATAGAAGTTGGCGCATGTACATTTTACATTGATCCTCTCGAAATGTCAAGGGTAATTTTGAGATTCAAAAATAAATTTTTTATCTTGAACATCAGATAAATCATCAGATAAATTTGATCATTACAGTTACTCCTGTGATAATCAAAAGTTTAGAAATCAGAGTATTTTGAGCTTCTCACCACCAGTAAGCATTTTGTGGAAGGAATTAGTGGGAAAGGTTGCTTGCATGATGAACGTGATGATATTAAACACATGCTTCAATCTACGTGTCCCACAGTGTACGGGATTTGTCCACGTATGGTCCGAGGTATTACAATAAGATTTAATACTCGATTTTTGCATGTACCATTTTTCTCAAATTTTTAGCAACTCTTGCAAAATATTTTATTTTTTCAAAAAAAAAAAAAAGGGACTTAAAAATTTAGTTTAAAGTACTTTTTATAGTGTAAATATAAGAATATAATAGAAAATTATTAGATGATATTAAATATGTAATGGAAAAAATTTGTAATATATTTTGCAGGGCGTTCAGTTTAGATCAGCTTTACAAATACTGTTTCTCAGATATTTATACAATTTAAATTTTCATTCATGATTATACTTCATGAGCCTTAAATTGTGATTAAGATTTCTGCTCGCTAATATTGCATGATAATTTTAATTATAAATTAAGTCAAGTCTCATATAATGTATAACTTGAAATTATACACTGACGTTACTTCGACATCAATAAGCATAAGTGATTATTGAATGATTTAACTGTTTAATCAATTTAAATCATTCAAATCCTTTAATTGTACTATCATTATTATCAAATATTATTGCTAATAATTAATTAATAATTAACAAATTATTAACTAATAATAATATTAACAATGTAAACAATATTTGTTTTTTTCAAATTCTAATTTCAGTACAGAAAATTCCAAGTCTTGCTCGTCTAGCAGACAAATATGATATAAAAACTTTACAAATAAGTTGTGAACTATCCGCTCATAGAACTGACCTCCGCAAACATTGCAATAGCTTACTAGTAAAGTTGCTGCAAACAGCGATGACATACAAATATGAGTAAGAATTGCTTTATCTATCTTTGTTTTTGCCATTAATGCGATAATAATAATAATTATAATTATAATAATTATGATTATTTAAAAAATTATTATTAATTACATATAATTTAGTTATTATTTCTGAGTACAGTTATTATGCAATAAAAATAACTGTAAAAACTTTTAGTGTTTTTTTATCATTGAATAAACAATAAAAATATTAATAATGATGAATAATCCTTATTAAAGCATGCAAAAATATAGCTAAAAGTTGTTACAGTTGTTTTTACTGTATAATAATAACTGTCAGCAATGTATAGATAATAATTTCTCCACAAAAGTAACTAAAATTATTAGCAGTAATTGGATTATCTCAATTTTAAAAATACTGTAATATCAAAATTTGCTTTGTTTTTTATTTTAAATAAATACTATTAGACTGAAAATATAAAATAAATATAACTTTATAATACTTCTAATTCGAACTTTTTATGCAAAATGCGAATTTTTTTCACACAAAAATATGATAAATATTTACGTTTTTCTTAAATGCAAAAATGTTATTAACTTTTAAATTATTTTAGCAAAAAACTTCAAGAAAGTTTAATGACAGAATTGCTGAATCGCGCGTACTTCTCCAATAATTATACAACGGACAAAATAAACAACAAAATGACCAAAGAAATTTTTGCAATTATTTTGTTAGTTGCATTTATAATCTTTTATTTTTGTTCAGTTTTTTATTTATTTAAATTTTAAATGTGTAAAAGTATTTTAAATGAATTTAAATTGCAAAAAGAAAGTTAAAATTAAAAATCTTTGTTATTTTAAAATAAATTATTTAAGATAAATGCATTTTAGCTATTTTGTAAATAACAATTAGCGATATTTTGTATTGAATAAAAAGTTTACAAATGAAAATTTACAGAAATTGTAATACAAAACATCGTGGAAGAGCAATCAGTGAAGGATTATGCCACAAATGTGGCAAGCAAAAAACAGCTGTGATATCAAATACTAATGGTGATAATTTGGTATGTATAATCATAATTTTTTCAAGCTGAAAGTGCTAATTTTGAAACTAATCATAGAAAAACTTTTAGCTAATAAGATAAATTTTAGGAAGATAAATTTAAATTCTTTAGATTATCATTTAAAAAAGAAATAAAGCGCCATTTGAAATTCAAAACAATTAAATGTTTGATATTTTATTTAATTTATTTAATAGGTCAACTACGACTTATTTAAAAATAAATTAAGCTTATAACATCAAAATTTTCAAATTTGATATTTTGTAGTGGAAATGTGATTGGTGTGAAACAGTATTCTGCTTGGAATGCAAATACATGCCATGCTTAGAACATGTCAAAGAGCTTTTTCAAGTAGCATTCGAGAAGTTCGAAATGGAAGAGAGGATAGAAAATGCTAAAAAATACATGACCCAACAATTTTCAAACATTCATACAACTTATTAATCTTTTCATGACTTTTTAAAATTAATATTATAATATTATTTCTGACTATTTTTGCCTTTTTTTTAAAAAAAAAAACGAAATTTTACAAAAAACAAAATTTTTATGAAGAATTATTTGCCAAAGATAAATTAAGCAATATGAAAAATTTTTAATTTTGGCTCCTAAACTTTTGAACAATTCAAATTAGCGCAACAACTTGTACTGATTAAGCAGCATTGTAATCAAGAAATCTCGAACATGTCAACACTTTAGTGCTATTCTATGTCTTGAGTATGATGCTAATGGATAAGTAAGTTCACTATTTGGAGCACAAAATGTTTGGACAAGTTTTTAAAATCTGTGATTAATGCTCAAACTTACAAATATAATAACTAATTGAATTTATAATTATTCATTGTTTCAGGCTCGGAATATTCTGTGTACAAATATTGCTGTGCTTAGAACTAAAAAATTTTTGATTTTTTGCTACAAAAATTATTTCTGTTTTGAAATGCAAATTATTATTTTAATATAGTTATATAGAGATTATAAATATGATATGTACCAAACATATTTCGATTTAATAACTAAACATATCTCTATTTTCATCCATCATAATTTTTTGCTTCATTATTTCCTAATTCTATTTCAAATTCTAAATATGCTTTCTAAAATTTAATATATAGATTATAATTGGACATATAAATGTCATTTTTATTTAAATTAATCACCGTATTTTCATATTATATAATGATAATATATTATATTTCATTTTAATTACTATCTTACAATCATATTTTATACTAAAAAACAGAACATATTTTAAAGTAAATATTTTTAAAATCATAACATATAAGGTAGTACAGTGAAAACCTATTTAACCTATTATCGTATATAATATTTCACTTCCTTCCCTCCAATATTTCAATCTGTATTTCGCATTATTTCCGACCTGAAAACAAGCACAAGTAAATATTTGATTGTTTTGTATTATATTCAAAAATTTAAAAATATATTTGACGCGATGATTATTTTGTAATGATTATTAATTACTTACACATTTTATCCTGTCCAATCTTAAGCTCCATTTACAAGCTATATGCTTGTCCAGCGTTCAATTGTCTTTTGTATTGTTTGTTGACGTGTAGGAGAATAAAGAATTTGGATAAGTTTCTGTTGTTAACAAAAAATTTGCATAATTTTTGTGAGATTTTAATTTTCATAACGATCCTCAAATTAAATACCCATAGATTGTTCGAGAATTTGCTAGATACTGTTCAGCCATGAGTTGAATTGTTTTTGATACGTAGTGGTTATTTCTTTGTGGTCAGTTATGTGACTAATATTATTTAGTAAAGAAGTTTTATTCATTTTAAATCAGTCTAAAGAACATTTATAACTGTCTCAGTTCTAAACCCATCTATATTAATAGTCTTACTTTTCTGTCAAGCATATGTAGAATATAAACATCATATTGAGACACAGAATTTTTCAAAGAGCGTACGGATGCAATTGGTTTCTTCGAATTTTTCCAGTTATTTTTGCTATTTACTCTTTCAGAAAACGTTGTATCACTTTGAGGGTGCACATTTTGAAACTGATGTAATTACGCCAGATGTAACATTTGCGCTCTCCAATTGCTGATTTTTTAATTTTTTTCTTAGAATCAAATTGCAATTATTACTTTTGTTACCATAATATAATAATTATTATTGTGATATATGCAACAGGCTGGAAGTTATTCTTCCTTCCTGTCCTCTTGATTCTCGCGGTAGATCGTGTTCCGGCACCCTCACTATACTGGCCCGGTCTCAGTTCTGCTGGTTCTGGTACATTAGTCGAGTGCTTTCTTATATTTTTTACGAAGATTTTTCCTACAATTTCATCTGTTTTCTATTTATTTTCATTTGTTATTCCAGGCTTTTTTCGTTTATCCTTCATTTCATGCTTTGTGTTGCGACTCGACTCGCTGGCATCCCAACCGCTCGACAATTCAAACAGTTATCATTTATTATTATTTATTATTATTATTATTATTATTGTTGTTGTTATTATGCTAATATTAGTAATAATTGAAACTAGGTATTAATTACAATTATGATTATTACTAATGATTCATTTAAAAAAAATATTACTCAGCTTTAAAGATTTTTATAGTCATATATTTTAAATTACCTGCTTGTCATTTACTTATTAATGTTTATTCTCAGTAAACGGTTAAAGCTGACGAAAATTAAAATTATTGTAGAAATCAGTTCTATGTCGAGTAAGATCCGAAATTGGCTTTATGGATGGCTGGGTAAGAAAAAGTTTGGTTTGCCAACTTATAAAGTGACGTTACTGACAACTGACGATAGAACATTGCGCTACAGATGTGAATTAACTGTAACAGGTTAGTTTTTTCATCATTGGAAAAAAGATTATGTGTTGATAATGATCATTAGTTCAATATTTTTAGGTCAGTCGCATGTGGGAGTAGGAATTTCAACGAATAAAAAGGATGCTGCAAATAGTGCTGCTCAGGATTTTATTCGGTTTCTTATTCAGCAAAATTTAATTGATTCCTGGGAAATCCCGGATGACAGCGTAATTTCTTTAAATATTCGTTTTACCCAAAGATATTTTATTTTATACCAGTACTCAGTGTTCAAAACTAGTCAATATTCTGAACATCAGAAAAACCATGAAGGTTACTTCTGACTGGCAAAATCTTCTGGTCTAATTTTAACAAGCCGTCTTTCATCCACTTCTGAAACAAAAATTGTTCTGTGTTTTATCAGTTCTATATTTGGTTCGGCTTATTTTTTTAAACCAATTTCATTTGTATGAGTTTTTGAATTTCTTTATGTCTTTTACGGTTGTAAAGATTTTAAGTTCGTTATTCTAGGATTTCGTATCGAAAAATGAAATTATGGAATCAACTAGCTTCGACATTCCAAAAGGAGATAAAGATGCAGGGAATACAAGTTTGATGAACGAAGGAACAGATACTTCACTGCGGAAATCAGTCGATTTACCATCAAGAATGTGGACAGAAGATGAATGTTATCCTGATCTAAGACTAGATTCAACTTCTTTGGTATGTTTGCTTTCAAGTTTATACTGTTTTCTCAAACAAGCTAGTTTCATTCATTATCAGGAGATAGCTAATATGGAGTGCGGAAAGCAGTTGATGTACTTAAGGGATTAAAAAATTATCACACTAGAAAAGGCATTTTTAGTCGCATTCAGCCCATGTATCAACAGATGGCACTCATGGAGGATGGACAGTTAACAACAGTCTAACAAGTCTGAATGCATTCTTGCAAAAAATTAAACATCCACCACTTGATTACAACATTGCATCCTTTGGCTCTGAAAATGAAAGGTAAAATTTATCATATTTTGACTGAGGAAAGTATGAATGAGTGCTACACCAATAATTTTATTTTGATGGCATTTTGCAGTCATACAGTTTTAGAATCGGTAAGATATAATATATTGTGTAATCAGTTATAGTTTTCTAATTGTTTTGATATAGTCAAAGAACATTAAGTTTGAAAATATCCTTGCTTTCAGAACTTTTGTTGTCAATGTAACAATCTTCGTGCCAAATGTACAACGCTGTGAGTAGTAATTTCTATTCAAAATGATTTATTTTTGAGTTGCTGTGGAACGGTATAAAAATTTTTTCAGGTGTTATATTAAAACACCATATCATATGAAATTTTTTTTGCAATATATTCTCCTGATGTTGTTATAATTTTTCAATGAATGATTGATCAGATTTTGTGCTCGCTTTTTACATATTGCTTTGGAAAAATGAGTTGTTAATTACTACAAAACCTCATTTTGAGCAAGCTTGATTTAATTTCCATCTTATTTAGCGTTTTCGGCGGAAGCAAAAGGTTCAACTAAGAAAGCTGCCAAAGCGATTTGTGCACTTTCTCTATTGCAGCAGCTTTTTGATAACCATTTGATTGATTCCAGTGATTCTAAAAAAAATAAAAGTTCGGTGAAAAATGTAAGTGAACTTGAAGAAAATTTCTGTTAGTATTGACGACGGAATATTAATAAGAAAAGCAGTTGAAAATAAATCAAAGATAGTTCGGGAAGAGCTCAAATTAATAGGGGTTCATTATACGACTTTTTTTCTTTATCTGATTATAATTTTCTATATTACTGCATTTGTTTTAATGTATTAAGTAAAACATTTTGATATTTGTTTTCAGTTACCGAAAATTCCTGTAAATGTAAGTGACAAAATTTCTCGAGAAATTATGGAGTATTTGAAATTAGTTGGCGTAAACGAAGCTCGTCTTCCATCATCACTATCGGAACCTGTGTCGTTGCTCATTACTCAGAAATTGAATCATTTTGAGACATCGGATTTGGTTTCAGAGAGTTGCGTACTTTGGTCTCCAGCACTTCCAAACTGGAATCCTTGGAAGTCAGTGAGTATCGACGAAACTCCACTTGCTTCTGTAACTTTTAACGCCTAGTTGTAATCTTACTTATAAAGTTATGAATTTACTTGATATGTGTGGGTCTGATAATGCTTTTGAGAACTTCAATAGTCGTTTAATTTTGTTAATCAAATCCCACTATGGAAACATTTGTTGATTCATAAACTTATTTTCGGGAATGTAGTTTGTTTATTGAATAATAGCAGGCGAAGATTGCTACTGTTTAAGAAACAAACTACGTCTTCATAAACCTCATCAAGTCAGTTTTCAACTGGTTAAAAAACAAAGAAGGAAGATAGCATTAACTAAGTTTTGAGCAATGTTGTTAAAGATTACCATGTGTACAAATCACCATATTGCTTTCAGATGTCCCTTGAAGAGATTAGTACTGCCTTGTTAGACCAAGAAAAAAAGAAATTTGTTCAGCCTCATATTAAAGCTCAACGCAGATCACTGCCAGTCTTCCAGTTTCGTAGTCATTTAATTGATACAATTGGAAATAATCAAATAACGCTCATCAAAGGCGAAACAGGTTGCGGTAAATCCACTCAGGTTGTGATTTGATAACACATTGTTAAATTTTTACGATTTATTATTTATGTTGATCAGCAAGATATATTCCTTCTTTTACTCTTTATGCTCACTATTTCATTTGCACTCTGACATAGCTTTCGAGACATCGTTATTAATTGATTGATTTTAACAATGCTAAATGTTTCTGATACTCTAGGTATGCCAATACTTACTGGAAAATTACTTAGAAAATGGTCGTGGTTCAGAGTTTGCCGCATTTATTACTCAACCACGTAAACTCAGCGCTACAACATTGGCGGAGCGCGTCGCTGTTGAACGTGGAGAGGATTTAGGGAAATCTGTTGGATATAGTGTTAGGTACTCCTACTTTTCTGAGCATTATTGTGGTCTTGAAAATCTTACTTTAAAATATTTCAGAATTTATTTGAGCCATTTTATTTGAGCAAAATTTTCATTTTTATATTGAAAATGGGTATAGAATACGTTAACCATAAGCTTTTACTGGCAGTTAATATGAATTACGGTAATAACGGTGAAAATCTGAAACAGTATTATAGATTTGATTCGTTTCCACCTCGACCATATGGATCGATGATGTTTGTTACGGTCGGTGTATTGTTAAAACGATTGGAATTCGGTTTGTGTGGAATAAGCCATGTGATTGTTGATGAAATTCATGAGCGTGATATAAATGTGAGATTAATAATTCCTTCAGTTATGTTATGTTTTTAAAAGTTGCGTTGTGCTAAAATTATTGGCAACTTTAATTTTAAATCTGAAAGATATAATTAACGTTTGTGATGGAGATAAATGGGAGGTAGTAGGATAATGTAAATCTCTTTCCGAAAAGCTTAAACTAGTATTTTATGCTGATCTTATTATTTTCGGATTAATCCGCTTTTTCATACGGAAATAAGTCGGGAATTGAAGTGCAGTGGCAAATTTTTCTTTCTTTCTTCCATTACTAAAATCAACTTCTAAAACTTTGAAAATAGATTCCTTGTGCAGTAGATTTATTTCAGACTGATGTCATACTAATCATTTTGCGTGATATGATGAAGATATATCCGGATTTAAGAGTAGTTTTGATGTCTGCTTCCATTGATACCAAGATTTTCACCAATTATTTTGATGGTTGTGGTGTCGTCGTGATCGAGGGACGAAGATTTCCCGTTCAGTGTATGTTGAGCCTTGAATATTGAGACTATCCAGTAAACCTTTTATTATAGGAATGAATATTATTCAAATTGGTTATAAGATCATTGTTTCATGCACATGAAAGATATGTGTGAAGTTCAAAAATTTCTTTGAGAAACTGTACTTATTTAAAAATTTTCTTTCACTTGCATTAGGATTTATCAGTAGATTTATGAAGTTACACTTCATTGTTTGATCTTGAAAAATGTGTACTGGTCTTTTTTCAGACTACTTCTTAGAAGATATTATTCAAATGATTCAGTTCTCACCGTCTACCAGTAAATCCAAAAAGAAGCAAAAGTATGAGTGTGATGAGGATGGTCAAGAACCAACAGAAGAGGTGTACCAAGTTTGAATTTTAAACTTAGAATATTTACAGAGTTGTTCACATAGTTTTTAAAGGTACAGAACCTGAATTTGATTAGTGGCGATGAATATAATTCAAACACGAAGCTTGCCATGTCTTTACTGTCGGAGCGAGAAATACCATTTGAACTAATTGAGGTTTGTTCTACAGGTCGATTTTAATTGTACCGCCTTCCTTCTACTGATTTATGTTATTCGAAAAAACCTCAAAAACTTGATGATGTTGTATTGCAATATACTATAATATGACAAGAAAACTTAAACCTTGTTATTCTTGAAAGTCGGAATCAATGAGATTTGCTTTTAGATGCATGTAATTTGTGTGTTATTGTAGGCACTTTTGATTGACATCGCCAAGGAAGGCGAGAAAGGTGCCGTGCTGATTTTTTTACCAAGTTGGAGTGCTATCCAGTGCATGCTAAATATTTTGAGAGCACACTCATTATTCGGTGATAAATTGCGTTTTGCCATTTTACCATTACATTCGAGGTTAGCTAAACAAGAACAGCACAAAGTTTTTGACCATTATTCAGCGGACGTGAGAAAAGTTGGTTTTTAAATTTGGCAGTTGTTGATACTTTTGAATTTAATTGCTTGGAAATCTTTATTGTTATACGAATGACAAGAATTTTGGTGCAACTACAGTTTCTCATTGTTCAGATCATTCTTTCTACAAATATTGCGGAGACCAGTGTTACAATCGATGATATTGTTTACGTCATCGATAGCTGCAAGTAAATTCGTTGATATTTTTTTAGTTTATGATGAAGTTTACCAGATTATTGCCGATTTTCAAATGTTTCATGTCTTAAAAGCAAAATTTTCTCTTTTTTGAGGACCAGAGAAAAGGTGTATACTTCACACAACAATATGGTCCATTACGTAACAGACTGGTCATCGCGTACTAATGTTATTCAAAGGCGCGGACGTGCTGGCAGACTACGTGAGGGCTTCTGTTTTCATCTATGCTCCAAAAGTCGATTTGCAGCGTATGTGCTCTGATTTGTTATCCTATTCAAAAATTCACTTACTATTCAGTGTTTTCTTTATCTAGAATTTTTTACATGTTTCTTTTTACAAGAATAACTGGAGATGAATATTTTATGCCATGACAATACTAAATATGTATATTTTGAAATTTCTCAGAAACTAGTCAACCTTAAGAGCTCATTCAAAGTTCTCATCTAATTAAAAATTTTTTCAGACAAATTTATGTATTCTTGGAGATTGTTGATTGCAAATATAAAATTAAAAAAATATAATCAAGAGTTTTGTAAAGTACTGCAACTACTTTCAGGTTAGAAGAACATCAGAAACCAGAAATTTTAAAAATTCCTCTTCATGAGATTGCATTGTCTATCAAACTAATAGGACTTGGATCGGTCGGCGATTTTTTGGCTAAAGCAATCGAGGCTCCACCAGTCAGTTCTGTAATCGAAGCTGAAAGACTTCTTCAAGGTTCTTAAAATTTGGGTTGTTTGTTCATCTTAAAATGTTTCTTATTTATAAAATAGACATTTTTTTTTGTATCGAATAGACGAATATTTTCAGCATTTAGTGTAATAAAATAACGCTTATTTAATACTTTTTATCAAATTCATTTTAGAAATGTCGGCTCTCGATGCAAGCAACGAATTAACTCCTCTTGGTCGTCTTTTAGCCAAATTACCTGTAGAACCAGTGTTTGGGAAAACTCTTATTCTTGCCACTGTGCTTGGGTAAGGCTTTCCTTTTTTTTTTATGCGTACATAAATATCACTAGTGAAGAGGAATTAATTTCTAGCAATTGTTTGATGTTTTAGAACTTTTCTTTCTTTCAGTGTTGCACACAAATTTACTTTTACTGAAATTTTAAAATAAATTTATTGTAGGTCATGAGTTATGCTTAATAATGAAATTTGATATCTAACATCAGTTGATTTTAGTGTTGGCGATTTGTTTGCGACATTATCAGCAGCATCATCATTGGCAGCACCATATGTGGTGCATTGTGGGGCTTCCTCAATATCATCTCAACATCGAACATTTGCTGGCACTCGCTTCTCAGATCATGTGGCACTTTTGTGCATCTATGATAAGTGGCGCAAAATGAAAAGTGTAATGGCAGAAAAAGATTTTTGTGAACGACTTTCATTAAGTTCGGCAGTATTAAAAATGATAAGGTTACATAGCGAAAATATTTTTACTAGGCCAATAATGCAAAAGCATGTTAAAAGCAACGCATTAATTTTTTTTTTTCAGCAATGTTAGGCGACAAATGATAGATATACTGATTTCATCAGGATTTCATAATTCATTATTTATGCCAGTAGATATATGTAGCCAAGGATATGATAAGAATATCGATCTTGTTCTCTCGTTGTTGGTTTATGGTAAATATTGTTTTTTTTGCTTGCTAGAGAAGTTTCATTTATTAACTCCAAAAAAAATATGGAAATAGATGAAGGCAACACTCATTTTATGCACGAGTTACGTGGAACAAACTTATCATTGCTGTGAATAATTTGAATGGCTTATGATTTCAGCTCTGTACCCAAATATTGGTCATCTTCGTGATGAGCGACGTGTTTTTACACTTGAAAAAACCACGGCACTTATCAGCAAACACTCTGTGAACACATCTCTTGACAGTACGAATACTATCAAATTTCCATCTCCTCTGTTCGTTTTTTCAGAAAAAGTTAGTTTTATGCCTTTAATAAACTGATGTTGGACGAAAAAGAATCGTTTATTTAAAAAAAATGATATTTGGGTATATATTTATGGCTGCACGAATTAGCCAACATATTTTGCTTTAGATCCGCACAAATATTATATCTTGCAATCAAATCTCGAACATAACGCCCATTCAGTTACTTCTTTTTGGTGGTTGTAAAGTCGAATATCATGGTGATAATATTATCAAATTGGATAACATGTTAGTTTTCTTAATTTCCTATATCACTGTGTGTTGAAAGTATACAGAACTGTTCCTTGCATGATTTACGTTGTATTGATAAGAGTATTTTGGTAAGAGGGATTGGTAAGAAATATGCTTTCTAGAATTTTATACTGTTTTGTTTTTAAGAATCTCACTGGAAATGGATGTACAAGCTGCATCAAGAATTGTAGCTTTACGGCCGTGCATAGAGGCGTTGGTTGTCAAAGCTTGTTTAAATCCACAGGCTTGTTCTTCTTTACCAGAAAACAGTGATTCTAAATTAATTGCCCTTTTGGAGAAGTTGTCATCAAATTTTGGTTGGTCATCTCACCCTCAAGAAAAACTCGATGAAGCTCAACAAATTTGTGGTTCTGTTGAGACAATTTCCCGTACTAACTGCATGAGAGAGTATGTTTCAGAATAATTCAAGGTTAAATTGAGATGGTTTCGCGAATAGATTTTTTTCACTGACTTGGAAAATGGGATTTCAGAAACTAAAAAATTTAAGGCATTTGAGAAATCTCGTATTATCATTATCTTCATTTTTTCTGACCAACATTTTATTCTTAAAATTCATTCTCTTTTTTTCTGCTTGTAAGACAAAATTTATTAGTTCAGTCCAATTTCAGTAACTTCAATTCTAAAAAAGATTGTTAAAAAATGCCAGTGCAAATTTTTTTGTCAGATTAATGGTTATTTGAAAATTTCCGTATGAGAAGGCAGTTTAAAATGGTGAAATTTAATTAACTTATCGCATCTATATTTTTCCGACTGTATTTAATTCATAGTTAAAAATAAAGCTGATTTTTTGGACAGTTATCATTATCATCTCCGTTTGTAGTGACAATCGCGCACATTTTTTTCATTTCCGTTTATGATTGGAGACTAGCAATCTCGTTGCTTACACCTTTTCATGTTGATTCGGTGAACTTTTATTTTAGGGATAGAAATAGTGCAGGAATGACAAAATTGGGCGCAATAGAAAGTAAAAGAATTAAGGGGACTCCATATTCATTGCGCAACGATGCTGTGAAGGGTTGCAAATCATTATTAAAGAATCATGAAAGAATAAATAACAATGGATCACCCCCGAAATTTAAATTTCAGAGGCATTACAGTGAATCATATCGAGTAAAACCTGCTATTCACAGGATTAGACATAGATTTGGTTGTAAAAATATCTGTAAAAGAAATGTTATAAATAAGACCAAATACTCTTCAAACTTAAGTATTGCTGAAAACAATGCTTCTGTCGTCAGTACCTACAACAGTAATTTGGGAAGCTCTCATCCGTCTTTTCATATTGTCGGTATGTTTTCTATTTCAGACATGTTATTCGTTGCAAAGCACTGTATAATCAGATTTCATTACAAATAAAATTGCATCAAAGTATGCGCTTACTGATCCAGTGATATAAGTAATTTTCTAACTATTTCAGGACGTAAATATGTTAAAGCTAGAGGAAAAAAATATAGTCTTCCTGTTCGTCCAAAACGACCTCGAGCTGATTCTAGTGGATTATCACATTCAAATAATTCAAAATTTATTGCTTCTTCGTGAGATGAAAGTGTGGATTACAGTTAGTCATGTAATAAGTAAATGAGATAAAGTTTTTATGTTTATATCAGCTCCGAATTGTTCATGTTTAATGACCAATGAAGTCATAAAAACTCTTGTAAAATGACTGGTCAAATCGTATTTTGCATTTAGTGCAACATTTTCACTTTGTTTCATGAGATGCCTTTTAGAATCAAAAGATCGAAGTAAAGTCTTGTTTTCTATATTCTTGTCAGCGTCTTTTAACACTTTTTTGAAGAAATATGTATTCGGTTTCTCTACAAATAAGGAGCTTGGTCAGATATGCTCAACTTTATTAAGTTCTCCATTTGTGTACGGTTTTTTGTAGCTATAGGAATGTCTTTTTAAATCTCATGAATATGGGTTATATACTGATTCGTGTTCACAAGTTTGCTAACGGAAAAAATTTAAGCATGATCTTATTTTGCCATGTTGCATTATCTAATATCAAGCTATGACTTGGAAACTACGTTGTTTTCTTACACCTACTTTTCCATATGCCAACTTTTCAAGCACATTCGTGAAGTTTCTCTAGAACTATAGTCCGTATTTTGCCATCCCTTCTCCTGTTTTCCATATACAGTTCAGATAATGTTGCATATTTAATTTGCATGTAGTAGCAGTTTCGTGATTTGCAAAAACTGTCATTTCATAGAAAAAAAATGAAACAAGATGTTCCAGTCATATTATTTCATAAAAAACATTTATAACTATAGTAGACGGGAAGTTGGTGCATTGCTTAGAAAGAATTTATAATTTGCATAGTTGTCGATTAAGGGATATAAAAACTACAAGGGATATGGTTTCAAAGAGTTGCATTAATACTATTACGATGGGGCGGTTGATCGTGTTGCTCATTTGCTTCATTGTTCATTCGAGAGCAAATTTTGATTTTGAAAATAGAGTTTGGCTGTTAATGAGTGCAATTCATGCTGATGTATGTAAGCATGTTTTGGAATGGAAGTAATTTTGAATAATAATGTAGCGATTTTAGTTCTTTCTCATATTTAAAAGTTTTCAGGAAGACATGATACCAAAATGTAAATCAGATATTGAAATTAATTTGGCTCATAAACGATTAATTATTCACAATAATACTACACTTTGTGGTCATTCAGAACTTTATAGTTATCAACATCTGATGAATAATATGGTAGAAGCACTGTGTCTAATTATTTATTTATAAATAAATGTATAACAAAATGATTACATCGTTAATAAATTTGGGACTAATAAACGAGTAATAGATGTAAATATTGTTATTAATAATAAAGTAAGTTTACTGCAGTTTCTTTTTAGACTTTGGCAACAGAAATATGCTGGCAGCTTAATTTTAAATATGGTATGATCGAACATTTTGGATTAAATTATAGTAAAGTTTATTGTGTATGGCCAAATACATTTTTCGAGAATAACTCTTGTATCAACGCTGTAAATGCTAATTTTACATCGAAATTGCAAATAGATGTAGATAATTGTACCGAAGCTGAGATACTTGCTAAACTCGATTCTGAATCTCAGTCAGTAACAACTGAATCGGTTCGAGAATTATTTCAACAAAGTAAAATTATTTAAATAACATCTAATTATTTTTTTAATGCTTTTTGTTTTTATTCGTTTTAGCTTATTCGATTATATGATCGTAATATTTTATTATCAGTTTAAAACCAAAACTTGGGATTTTGTCAAAAAGTTTTCCCTAATCAAATAATGTCATTGTACACTATAAGAATGCTTTTTGACTAAAATAGTACAGAAATATCATTGTAATTTAAATACTATCACTGAATATTAAAAATATGAGCACTAAAATTGACTATTTTAAAAATTTGACATTCCACGAAACCAATAAAGTCTATAATTTTTGGATTATATCTATTACTGCTTTTATAGCTTACAAATATTTTAGATGGATTGAATGGAAGAAAGTTTATAGAAATCAAAGGATATGAACTTCAAAGAATACTGATAAGATTCAATATTAAACGATTTATGAATAAAAGTATGGTTGCGAATATTTCGAATAATTTTTCATTTTTATTTATCTATTCTTTATTAAATAGTTTTTTTGTAAGAATATATTTTGAGGTCGACAGTAACAAATATTTTATAGCAAATGTAGTGCTACCTAAGCAAAAAAGAAAACTTTCATGGAAATTAGTTGCATTACTGATTACGGTCATTCTTATTCTCACTACTTATATTATTACTGTATCATTATGTATGCCCAGCAAGCCAAAATATTCAAAACAGGTTATTATTATGATTTGTTATAGTTTAATTCTGATTTTATCTTGTTTTTCAAAAATATCAGCTCAGTTTTTATTTAAAAAAAAATGCTAACTCAGAATTTTTAAGTTATTGAGTAGTAAGTTGAAACTGTTCTTGTAAAGATTACTTGTAAGGATTACTTCCTTAATTTAATTGCATTTATATTTTTTTTTGTAATTAATAAAATTTAGCTGTAGAGAATATAAATTATGCATATTTAGCATTGTGCTTTTTCTTTTTTATTCGAATAGTAGTGTAAATATTTCATATTTTTATGTTTTTATTGAAAGATTGTTATTGTGTTAATTTTCTATGCAGTCACTACTGATTAAAGACTTGATAAATATTTTAGAACACGAAAATGAATTAAGTGCGCAATAGCATTCTGATGAAAAAGTAGTAAGTTGATAACTGACCAGTACTGATTGCTATATTAGCCATCGAATTTGAACACTGACCAACAGTGAGTAAATCAATGTTAAAATTCTGTGTATTTATTATGTTAACAAGAAATTAAATGTAAAATGTCATGAAATATAAATATTGTGATTTCATGGCAATTATGCATAAATTAGCTATGACAAGTTTACATGCGAGATTTGATAAAACATTGGAAGCTAAATGGTCAGCAAGCAAGTAAAGCAAAAGTTATTAAAATCAAAGTTCAAAATAGCCTGCGCAGAACTCCCTTGTGATTAAATGTAAATTTTTGAAATTCATTATGAATAATTAATGTAATAAGTTTTATAATAATATTGCGAAGTTTTTGAATAAAATTCATGTAAATACAGACATCAGAATAAATAATTTAAGGATTCGAAACACACCAATTCTCTAAGAATCACAAATGATCTGATTAGAAATAAAAATAGAAAGGCATGAAAAAAATGAATTAATGAATAATTCTCTTAAAAAATACAAATATGTATACAAAATATAAAATTGAAATACTCAAAACCAGTAATAAATAGCGATCCAAAATATAAATTAGAACTTTATTTAATATCTGAAATAAGTTTGAGTTAAGCATGCACATAAAACTATACAAATGAGTATAGAAAAGTACTAGAAAAGTATAGAAAAAGTATTTTAGCCTGAAAAAGTATTTTAGCTTGAGAAAAAGTATATTAGCTTGATTCAGACTAGACTTGCTAACTAGTCCTAACCTTGCTTTAGCCTAGCTCAAATAAGTCAATCGTTGAAGAAATTATCCATTCCTCTATATATGTCCTTAGCTGCTACACTCTTACTTTTACTCTTCACTATTATTAAGAATTATTGAATACCAATATTGTAAATTCATACTTCTATCAATTACAACAAAATGAGTAACTTAATTTCGGCGCTTGGTTTTAATCAACCGTTCTTAATAGCTTTAACTATGTAAGTTTTAACATTTTCTGTCTATGCTAATCTAGTCTAGCACTAACAAAGGTTATTTTGCATATTTCAAATGACTGTCATCTAACTTTGTTACAGTGAAATTATGAACAGAAGCGAAAAAGCAAATTTATTTTCTGAACAAATATTACTATGACATCATCAAGCTTACTACTTGGAATTCTTATCTATCTAAAAATGAATTTTTAAAATTAATAATTTCACTTAAAAAAGTAATATGAGCTCAGAATTTCATAAGGTCAATTTTTGTTGAACTGAAAATAAGTTATTAAGTGATGATCGAATTTGCGTAAGATAACTTGAACTAACTTTCGATGCCTAACGCAGTTGACATATACAAGTGTTGTATAGAAAAGTGAGAAATTACTTCATTTCGAAGATACTATCTCAAGTATAAGTTTAGTGAAGTAATGTGCTGCTGAGTCTGATTTACTTTTAAGAAAGATCAATTTAGATCATTTTAGAGTCAAGTATCTAGACTTGAGCAGAGCTCTAACAGAATGAATCAAATTTTTGTTGCATCTGAAGTGGACTAATCGATTCCAAAAACAAACATTTCAAGATTGTTGCAGTAGTAATAATTTCTTATCAAGAATGATAAGAAACAGATAGACAAATATTTATTCCAAGATTATTACTAGTGTGATAATCTTGGTATTATTTATCTATTCTTATCAGAAGTATTTTTTTTGGTATACTTTTTAATTAATAAAATTTTCATCAGAGTTTATTATAAGATAGTAAAGGATGAATATTTGAAGTTCACAAACTTTTAATTAATAACTATTTTTACTCGAGTAAAGTAATGTTTTTTGTAATTTAAATAAGAGTGCAAACTTCAGTTTTATCATTCAAAGTATGTTTACTAGAATAAATAGATGCTGATTCAGAGAAAATTCATAAAATAAAAAATATGCAAAACTATGTGAATCATTCAGTAATCTACGAAATGGTTGTTGATGATTATATTACCGGTTTTAATTTTTAAGAATTTTGATAAATATTTAAATATTAATCTTAATTAATGTAGTTAATTATTTAAGTATTAATTAATATAGTTAATTATTTAAGTATTGATTAATAATATGTCTAACTTGTAATAATCTTACAGAATTATTATAATGCTTTTGCTCACAGTCGTATTCGTTGGAAGTGATGATTTACAAACAACAAGCAGTGCTACATATCGTCGCAGTGCACTCGCTACTCCTGTAAGATTTATTTTCACTAATGACACTTATTTTATGCAAAAAATAATCGTAATAAAGATAGTAGAATTAAAACTTGTGACTACTTCGAAAATATTGAAAATATAAATGATAATGATAATAATAAATGTGTTTAAGAATAATGATAATTTGGATACAAATTTATTTTACTATGTATTCAGTGACAAATGGACTATTTTTTTGAGACTTTCAAAAAGTCTTATTATCAAAGATTCAATGTTGCAGAAAATTATATATAATTAATATAATATTTATTATTATTAAGACATATTCATGATTACAGCCATGCATCACAATTCACAATCCGTTGTTAATGTCTACATCGTCATCGTTTAACGAGCGGAATGCAGTTGTAACTTCAGCAACTGCTTGTTAACTTAACTCAATACAGTTACTTTATTTTTGTGCACAGAGCTTACAGTAGATATTAATATAATAATTGAATTAGTTATGTTAATAAAAATCTTATTCTTTGTTCGAATAGTTAATATTTAATACAATTTCAAAAATTTCTGATAAGTTTTGATAATTTAACAAGCTTTAATTTCATTTTTTTTGTTGAAAATTATGAAAAATTATTTTTGCTTACAAACTTTACTGCATTGAATTGTAAGTTCTTCGTAACTTTTCAATTTTTTCTCATCAATTTATAATTTGTACTAACAAATGAATGCAGCACTGTTATCAACTGACCAATCTGATGATTTATGTCCGAGTTTGCATTAATATTATTTCAATACATCGATGTCAAAGTTCAATTAATTGAATATTTTTTGATAACTACAGAGTGACCGATTTCATAGCAAGCAATTGTGTTGATTTAAAATCCATCTCATGAGCTGAATCTTTTATAAGTCAAAACTGATCAATCTGATTTTAATTTCATGAATTACTAATGTGTTGTAATTTTAAATATTAATAATGAATTAGATTAAATAACAATAGTAGTGAAGTATTTTTGTGTATTATTAACTGCAATTTTATATGTGAATTATTAACTAAACAGGATGATATCATCAAATGACGTTTACTGATCATATTATAATACAGAGAATAAAAAAATGAATTTAAAAGATTCGGTTTCGGATGAGAGCAGCTCAAAATAAACATAAAAATTGTACGAAAGTGTCTTGCGAAAAGATGACTAGAATGTGGTAGCAGTAGGATGAAAAACTCCCAGATGAGCACCGGGAGAGGGGCAAGGGGCGGGGGAGCATTCGAGAAACTCACCGATGTCAACAATCAACAATTCTCCACAAAGATGATAGATAGATAATCCGTGGAAAAATATGCGAATAGAACAGATGTATGCATGTATGCATAGCTTTTGCTATTTTTACTCCATTTTAAATCACTTTTATTTTAATATAACTTTAAAAATTCGCGCAAAAAATCTTAAAACTTCCCCCATTTTGTACTTATTTGATTTTATAAATAATTGAATTATTTTAAATTTTGTGTTTTTCTTAATTAATTGTATGCAAAATTTTAAGATTATTATCAATTTATAAGTAATTTTAGGGTAAATCCTCTTAAATTGAGCAAAAAACGTAATTTTTGTGCTATATTTATATACTAGTAATGCTAAATTATCAAATTAATAACACTAATAAATATTGTTTTAAACAAAATTACCAAATTAATAACACTAATAAATATTGTTTAAATCTTTGCATTTACGAGATTGTAAAAAATTGACGTGAGAGAAAATTCCTAAAATATTTTCTAACAGAAATTAGCAATTGTTTGCAACTACAACATAAGCTTGGAATGATTCATAGGATCTTAATAATATATTTCTACAAAATTATCTAATAATTTTCGGCACTCCTTGAATATTTTAATATAATTATCAAAAAAATCACAAAAATTAAACTACTTTTTATTAGACTTTTTATTATTTCTCTAATAATTTAGTTATTAAAAATTAAAGAATTACAGTAATCATTTTTGCTATTTTAATTTATTGTGCAGAATACTTTTTCCCGTTATCGCTAATTAATTGGTAACTATTATTGATTGGTAATTGTTAATAATTGGTCATTATTTATTATTATTGTTATTATCAATATTATTTTTAATTTGAAATATATAATATCAGTTACGTGTAATACCCAGCAATAAATGAACGGTTTCTAATTTAGTATTCCATTCAACCGATGTGTTTTTTACCAGCGCATTGTTATAAAATACCTTAAGAACTTTTATGCCTTCCTTTGAGAACTTTACATTTGCATTACAATTACCGTTACTTCAAGTAAAATTCTGTTAATATCTGCGTTCATATTAATTAAACTCAAATTTCAAAACATTTTCTTTCACGTAGCATTCCATTTTTACGCTTAAAAGTGCTGAATTCCACGTTTAAAAGTGCTAAACTCAAATTTTCATGATTCTATTTGTGGAATTATTTTTATGTAGACGTAATGACTTCAAAATTCAACTAACTTAATTAAAATAATTTCGATTATCCTTTATTAATTCTATCCACATAATGTCCACTTTCAACCTTCAGTGTGAGTTCAATTGACTTCATTCTATTTATAATTAATAATACATGGATTTGTTATGTAATTTGAAACCCTTATTCACTCACATATTGTTTATTTAATTTTTTGCATTACATTCATATTCAAGCATTTTTGCTTCAGAATATACCGCAGAAGCATAGGAATCTGTGGCAATGCAAGCCAATACAGATTCACAGCAAGAAAGCAGAACATCTCATGGAAGAAACGATATTCAAATTAGGACTTTTACTAACTGGCTCAATCAGCAGGTTTAATTTATCATTCAAAATTATTCCATAAATTCAGAATTATAATTTTATAAATATTTAAAAATAATTGTTAACTATCATTTTTACATTCTTCAATACCAAACTTTCGTTAAAGATTCTATATTCATTATTTGAATTATTTGTCTATTTGTTTAACTTTACTAATTTTTCTATAAGTGTTAGCAATTTTATTTTTGTATTTTTCACAAATCAGAAGTCTTACAGTTTAGTGCAGATCTAAGAGTACTTGGGAAGAAAATTAGCAGCTGAGCTTTGTTTGAAAACATAAATCTTTTTGAAAAAATAACTTTGAATACTTGTTTTAGCAATGTAAAAAAATAAAAAAATTTGGTGAACTGCCATACTTTTATTCAGTTTGTTCAAATACAAAATGCATAAGGAACAAATAATTGTGGCAGACGTGAAGTTTTTTGCTTAAAAATCATCAAATATTCAATCCATGAATAAATAAATAATTATTAATAAATAAATAAATAATTATTTTTGAATGAGTTAAATTTTACTGTACAAAATGATAATATGCCTTTGAATTTGAATATTAAATAAAGTCACTTGCAAATTTTTGTTTATGTTCTGAAAACATTTTATTTGAAATTATACAATAGCCTTCTTAAAAATAATTTTAATTAAATATTTTTGATGATAGGAAATAAGTTGCACTGATCGGCTCTGCATGTTATTAAAATTTACGTCTATTTTTTTTAAATTTGGAAAAATTGTTATTTCAATTGCTTATTCATTTTAGTCTTAAAAAAAATTATTCATTTATCCTTTATAATTGTTAATTTAAATCTGTAATAATCTTTTTCTTATTATTTGATTATTAATTAAATTTATATTCATGAAAATAAAAAGTAAAGTAAGCATTTTCTATCAATTATTATTTGAATCAAATTGAATGTTTGTTTACTTAATGAAACAAACACTAATAGTTTACATAAAGTTTGCACTGAATAATTTGATATTCCATACTGAGCTTCGAAAATCTGTAAATTAATTCATCAAAATAGAATCAACTAAACCTGCAAATAATAGATTTATAAATTAATCTATTACTTGTTTACCAGAAATGTACATTTTTTAAAATTGTCTAACAAAAATTGCTTAAATTTGAATTTACAAATCACGCAAATACATCTTTTTACAAATTCAATCTCGCAAATAAATGTCACATTTATGCCACTTTTTATATTTCATATGAATCAAAGCTGTATTCAAAATTATAGATCACATTTTTTTCAATATTTCATCCGATAAATGTTAATTAAATTCTGCAGATATCTCTAAATTTTGTTCGTCTAACTTTTGATTTCTATAAGATTTTGAAAACTTTACAATTCAAATTTTGAGTACTTAAAAGTTTTTTTCACATTTATGCATAAATTTTATTTATTTAAAAAAATGATGTTTTAATTATTTTTTTTAGCCTAAAAATGTTTCAATCACAAGTATTTCTTTCCATACAATACATGCGTTAAATACACTTAATATTATTTATTTTATTAACAATAATAAAAAGATTCCTTCATTTGTTATTGCAAATTGTAAAGCATGGTCTAAGCTGAATGAATAATTCATGAACTATCTGTAAGGATATAAAACGCTCAAGATTTTGTAATAATATTTGCATAACTCGTTTTTGAATTTGTGATGTGAAAATTAAGTCTCATCTACCTTAATAAACACCAAGAGCATGAAATTAGCACTAGTTTTAATAATAATAATAATTAATATAAATGGAATTAAAAATTCAATTATTATGATAAAATCAATACAAGTATCAAGTTATTTTTCTTTTGAAAAAAAATTAGCATTGAGTTGTTTTAGCATTTATCGAAAGAATTATACTTAAAATGAATAACTTTAATTGCAATTATATTGACATATTTACTTAACTTTCATTTTTAAGGCTTATTATATGCAAGAATACAAAATAATTATATTATCTTTGTAAGTTGTGTTTAATTTTTATTAAACTTCTAAATAATTAGCGAAAATGTATGCAAGTAGTTGAATTGGTTAATTTTACAAAAATATATTTTAATTAAAAATATTCAAATTTTTATGAAACTTAAATTCAAATATTTATTTTGGATAAAACTGTACATAAAATCTATAGCAGTTCATTACAGCTCAGCAAAACAGATTTGCGCGTAACTGACTTGAAGAATGATCTTGCTGATGGCATTATTCTTATTGAAGCTGTGGAAACATTACAAAATGTTAATTTTCAAAATTCTGAAAAATTAAAGTATAATCAAATAAACTTTTTTAAGCTACGAAAAGAAAAATTCGAATATTTTATTGAAATGTTTACAAATTAAAATTATTTCTACAAAATAAATTAATGACTTAAGTGCTTCTAACTATTTTGCTCGGATATGAGTATAAATTTATGGAAAAATTAAATGCAAAAATCATTTATAATTGTTAATTTGAGTTTAGCAAGAAAATTTAAAAAATTCAAATTTTTATTAAACCTAAATTTAAGTATTTATTATGGATAAAATTGTATACAAAATTTAAATGATTGTTAATAAAGCACAAAAATTAAAAATATTCAAATTGCCTTCATCATTATTTTTGATACTTCGTTGTCTATATAATTTTAGTACCAAATATAAAATAAAAAATAAATTCATAATTTAAATTGAAAAGTAAGTTTTAATTTTATCAAAATAGTTTACAAAAAAGTTTTCCATTATTAATTTTAATAATTTTTTTAATCACATTGAATTTTTCAACAATTATCTTTATTATTCTATTAAAAGAATCTGTAAAATAATTTCCTAAAAATTTAAGTTAATTATCTTTATTACTTTTAAAAATGCCATACCTTACTAAAATTGAATAAATATTTAAATTTATAGAAAAAATTTACTGGTAAAATGTATAAGAATAGACCAAATAAAATTCAAAAAATAATGAATGTGCAAATGGTTTTGGATGCATTAAAAAGTGATGGCGTACGCTTGAATAATATTGGTAAGTTATGCAAATTTTTTCTTTTTTTTAAAATTACAAATATTAATTTAAAAAAAAGAATATTTCTTTTTCAAGAAATTAACGTTCTCATAAAAAATTGCTCAATTAAAAGGCCTATTATATAGGAGCACATGATATTGTCGAAGGGAATATGAAGTTTATACTCGGTTTACTTTGGTGTCTGATTCAAAAGTACCAAATTGATACAAATATGAAGTTACCAATGAGAAAATTGATGATGGTATGGCTTCAGGTAGCATTTTACATTTTTGTTTAACTTATAATATTTTATAGATGAAAAATTTGCATATATGTTATATATTTATGCAAAATTAAAAACTCAATTAATGAATTTAATATGAAAGATTTAGTTGGCGGCAAAAAAAAAATCTCATAATTGTTCTAGAATAATTCATTATGCAAAACTTTGAATTATTTTTGCATATTCAAAAAAGAAATATTGGTTCAATAAAAAAGTATGCAAAATTTCAAATTGGTTTTTAGAATGTATTGCCAGAATTGAGTTTGAAAAATTTTCATCATAACTGGAGTAATGGCCTTGCAATTAGCGCTCTTCTAGATTATTGTCAGCCAGGATTATATCAAAACTGGAGAAGCTTAGATCTACTTAAGAGGTCAGAAGGTCAAGTTTCGTCAGCAATCAAAATTTTTTAAAAGCTATAAATCAAAATGACACGGTTTAGATTTATGCACATTATATGGAGGAACAATAATACAAAAATTAATAAACTTTTTGTTTTTAAATTATATTTTCTTCCAATATTTGTCTAAGCAATATCTATTGCAAGGTAATCAGCACTAATATGTCAAAGTATTAAGCTTTACACCCACATAAATCTTCATCTGTAATATAAAGGATTGCAATCGTTCATTAATTTAAATACCACATAAGTTTATTAAGATAAATCCTTGCAGCATTTAAATCATTAGATTAATTTTTATCGAAATTTCAATGCATTTATGCTTACACGACCTCTAGCGAGCTTATTTGTCTTTTAGCGAACTGTTGACCTCTAACAAGTTTATTTCACGATAAACAAGCTTGCTAGAATTCAAATCTAACTATAATTACATTAAAAATGACTGAAAATAAACTTTGAATATATGAGAGAAAACTGTGATTTTTAAAATTTGGTCAAGTGAGGAAAACTGCGAAACAGCAATACACCTCGCAGAAGTAAACTTCAATATTCCGCCAATATTATCCGCGCGTGACATGTCTTCACCATATTTGGATGAATTATCCTGTATCACGTATTTATCATATTTTCTGAAAGTTGACGGACCAGGGTACAAAGCTACTCTGCGCAACGTGCGAGAGGTTATTTATCAAAAAATATTTTCATCAGATAAAATTGGTCTAAAATGTCAAAAAAGAAAAAGTTTCTCATTAATATGAACTTAAAATTAATTATTTTTTCTGATCAATCTTGACGGATATTTTTTCCCAGCAAAGTTAACAAAATTTAATATATTATTTTAACTTTTTAAACACACTCTACGAGCAAATTTATAAAAATTTTTAATTAAATGTAAAAAAATAAAAATTTTTATAAATTGCCGTAATAATTTCCGAAAGTATAGAACTGCAAAAAT